AGGGAAAACTATGCATAAAAAGCCAAACCTCATGAAGATCTGATGAGTTTTGACCGAGTTATGGGGGTGGGAAATTCTGACCTATGTCTATATACGAGTCTTAGGGTAAGATATTAATATGAATTTCGACTAAAAATTATGTGTTCAGATTTTAATGCCAGATTAATCTAGAGGGAAAACTATTCATAAAAAGGCAAACCCTATGAAAATCTGATGAGTTTTGACCGAGTTATGGGGGTGGGAAATTCTGACCTATGTCTATATACGAGTCTTAGGGTAAGATTTTGACATGAATTTCGACTAAAAATTATGTGTTCAGATTTTAATGCCAGATTAATATAGAGGGAAAACTATGCATAAAAAGACAAACCCTATGAAAATCTGATGAGTTTTGACCGAGTAATGGGGGTGGGAAATTCTGACCTATGTCTATATACGAATCTTATGGGTAAGATTTTGACATGAATTTCGACTAAAAATTATGTATTCAGATTTGAATGCCAGATTAATCTAGAGGGAAAACTATGCATAAAAAGACAAACCCTATGAAAATCTGATGAGTTTTGACCGAGTTATGGGGGTGGGAAATTCTGACCTATGTCTATATACGAATCTTATGGGTAAGATTTTGACATGAATTTCGACTAAAAATTATGTATTCAGATTTTAATGCCAGATTAATATAGAGGGAAAACTATGCATAAAAAGACAAACCCTATGAAAATCTGATGAGTTTTGACCGAGTTATGGGGGTGGGAAATTCTGACCTATGTCTATATACGAATCTTATGGGTAAGATTTTGACAGAATTTCGACTATGACAAAATGATGTATTCAGATTTTAATGCCAGATTAATATAGAGGGAAAACTATGCATAAAAAGCCAAACCTCATGAAGATCTGATGAGTTTTGACCGAGTAATGGGGGTGGGAAATTCTGACCTATGTCTATATACGAATCTTATGGGTAAGATTTTGACATGAAATTCGACTAAAAATTATGTATTCATATTTGAATGCCAGATTAATCTAGAGGGAAAACTATGCATAAAAAGACAAACCCTATGAAAATCTGATGAGTTTTGACCGAGTTATGGGGGTGGGAAATTCTGACCTATGTCTATATACGAGTCTTAGGGTAAGATTTTGACATGAATTTCGACTAAAAATTATGTATTCAGATTTTAATGCCAGATTAATATAGAGGGAAAACTATGCATAAAAAGCCAAACCCATGAAAATCTGATGAGTTTTGACCGAGTAATGGGGGTGGGAAATTCTGACCTATGTCTATATACGAATCTTAGGGTAAGATTTTGACATGAATTTCGACTAAAAATTATGTATTCAGATTTGAATGCCAGATTAATCTAGAGGGAAAACTATGCATAAAAAGACCGAGTTATGGGGGTGGGAAATTCTGACCTATGTCTATATACGAATCTTATGGGTAAGATTTTGACATGAATTTCGACTAAAAATTATGTGTTCAGATTTTAATGCCAGATTAATATAGAGGGAAAACTATTCATAAAAAGACAAACCTATGAAAATCTGATGAGTTTTGACCGAGTAATGGGGGTGGGAAGTTCTGACCTATGTCTATATACGAATCTTATGGGTAAGATTTTGACATGAAATTCGACTAAAAATGATGTATTCAGATTTTAATGCCAGATTAATATAGAGGGAAAACTATGCATAAAAAGACAAACCTCTATGAAAATCTGATGAGTTTTGACCGAGTAATGGGGGTGGGAAATTCTGACCTATGTCTATATACGAATCTTATGGGTAAGATTTTGACATGAATTTCGACTAAAAATTATGTGTTCAGATTTTAATGCCAGATTAATCTAGAGGGAAAACTATTCATAAAAAGACAAACCCTATGAAAATCTGATGAGTTTTGACCGAGTAATGGGGGTGGGAAATTCTGACCTATGTCTATATACGAATCTTATGGGTAAGATTTTGACATGAATTTCGACTAAAAATTATGTGTTCAGATTTTTCATGCCAGATTAATCTATAGAGGGAAAACTATAGTTCAAAAAGCCAAACCTTATGAAGATCTGATAGAGTTTTGACCGAGTTATGGGGGTGGGAAATACTGACCTATGTCTATACACGAATCTTATGGGTAAGATTTTGACACGAATTTCGACTTAAAATGATGTATTCAGATTTGAATGCCAGATTAATCTAGAGGGAAAACTATGCATAAAAAGACAAACCCTATGAAAATCTGATGAGTTTTGACCGAGTAATGCGGGTGGGAAATTCTGACCTATGTCTATACACGAATCTTATGGGTAAGATTTTGACATGAATTTCGACTAAAAGTTATGTATTCAGATTTTAAAGCCAGATTAATCTAGAGGGAAAAATATTCATATAAAGACAAACCCTATGAAAATCTGATGAGTTTTGAGCGAGTAATGGGGGTGGGAAGTTCTGACCTATGTCTATACACGAAACTTATGGGTAAGATTTTGACACGAATTGACTTAAAATGATGTATTCAGATTTGAATGCCAGATTAATCTAGAGGGAAAACTATGCATAAAAAGACAAACCCTATGAAAATCTGATGAGTTTTGACCGAGTAATGGGGGTGGGAAATTCTGACCTATGTCTATATACGAGTCTTAGGGTAAGATTTTGACATGAATTTCGTTTAAAAATGAAAATCTGATGAGTTTTGGCCTAGTAATGGGGGTGGGAAATTCTTACCTATGTCTATGTACGAGTCTTAGAGTAAGATTTTGACATGAATTTCGACTAAAAATTATGTGTTCAGATTTTAATGCCAGATTAATCTAGAGGGAAAACTATTCATAAAAAGACAAACCCTATGAAAATCTGATGAGTTTTGACCGAGTTATGGGGGTGGGAAATTTCGACCTATGTCTATATACTATATAGGAGTGAGATTTTGATATTAATTTCGTATGAAAATGATGTATTCAGATTTGAATGCCAGATTAATCTAAAGGGAAGATAATGTACAAAAAGCCAAGCGAATAGTATGTATGCAAATGCAATATAATATTCAAGTACTTGACGGTCAATTTTCTTGACTATTCCAACTGTTTAATTTTTCGAAATATGCTTTAAATAGAGTTTTTCTGTGATCGGGTACGGTCTGGACTGACTCATTCACTATGTGTTCTCATTACTCAAGGTTGAGCCAAGCAGCAAAGACTACATCGCACGAAGAACGAGCTTGCGAAACACCGTCAAATATTATTATTGGCTAAGAAGGCAAGAGAGGGGAGGAGGAGGAGGATGGGGGGCAGCGACTGCAATTGGCTCAAAGTGCGAAAAGCTCAAGTTCAGCAGCTCGTGCGCCAAAGTGTTGCAACCACGAAACTTTGGTGCACGTCGAAGTCTCTGTAGCTGGTGTGAAAATCGAATGCAGTTTTCAATGTTAAGCAAGCAACGAGAGAGCCACAACAACAACAACATCGACATCGACAAAGAAAATAGTTTGCATTTAACTCATATTCATATAGACGCACAAGTGTTTGTGTATATAAATAAATATACCCCACAGGTGCCAAGTGGTAGTAAAGTGGGTTGCCGCTGCCTTTGTCGACGGAAATTTGTCTATTGGATTTTCCAGCTGCATAGGAAGTCGCTTCGCAGCGTTATCAAATGGCCTACAATGAAAATTAAAAGTAATTAGCTGCTCAAGCATTGCGCAATGAAAAAAAAAATACAAAAATATATATAAAAGCCAAAGAGTTAATTACCAGCTGGGGAGGAGACGGTCCAACTACTCAACATGAATACTCAAGTTTAATTAACCAACTTATTTGCCGTTGTTTTTGTTGTTGGTTTTCCTGCTGTTATACGCGGCACAGTTGACTGCATTTTGAGCCAGTTTAGCTCGATGTTGAGCTTTTATCATAGGAACTTCCTTATAAACATATATTAGTTTGACTACGTGCTTATTTAAAGTGCGCATCTGCGGACCATTGATTTTCTGCTTGGCTTGATATTGTGAAAGGAATGAGTTATCACATACTACATCGAACACAGTAAGGGCTGGCCTTACGGGCTCAACAGTTTTATTAATCAGTTACATAACAAATTTATAATAATAATAATAATAATATATTTCACTAATGAAAACTCGGCGTTTCATTAAATCTTAAATTTGAATATAAGCTAAGCGAGAATTCTTCGTAACATGCATAAAAAACTTGAGATCAGAAAAATATTTGTCCATATTATGGAATTGGAGAGACATACTGCACAAGAAATAAAGTCGTTCTTAATATTATTTTGGAGTGAACCGTTTGCCAAGTCCAACAGTCTGTAAAAATATTCAAATCTATTCAAATATTTTATATTTGAGTATATTTATATTTTAATATTAACGGCTGTAACCAGGCCTTGCGTGTGGCAAGTTTTCGGCTGACAATTTTAGATATTAATTAAATCACCCAATTTGCCCGAGGAAAATTTAATTCTGCCCGTGCTATCTTGGACTCCACTTCTCTTTAAAAATATATTTAACTCCATCGAATAAACATTGGGGTGAGAATCTTCAGGCTGAAAAATAAGATGTAGTTCATTATAGCTTTGGCTTGCATTTTTCACCCAAGAGCTAATGAAATCGCGAAAAGCGTATCAAAAAATTTTTGACATAGTTCTCGGAAAATGAGTTTGAAGCCGATCTGATGGTAAGCAAAAAGTTTCATACAAATGTTATTTACGATTGGAAGTTCCTAAGACCCAAGTTAACTACAGTGAAAATTCAGTCAGTCAGGACAAACAGTTTTATATATAGAGATACTTATAATATCAGGTTTATTACTTCGAGCATAATTTAAAATATTTGCTGTTCAGTTCTTAAAGAATATAACTAATAATATATATATATCAAATATAACATAAGGCTTACCAGTAAATTAATAATTAATAAAGCTAAAGTTTAGGCCTTAATGCTAATCGAATTTTTAACCACACGGTGATTAAACGAGCATTTACTAACACTGTTCGCTCTTAATGCCGTTGATCAAATAGTCAATACTGAAGTTCTTGACCGGCACGGGAGCAGGTGCCAGGGGTGCACTCTTGGGATGATCGTGCTTGACGAGTTGATTGAGATGATTGAAGTAGGCTGTGGCCCGCATGCTCTGCTCCACAATCTTGAGATGCTGCGCGGTGAACTCCTTGTACTGCTCCTCGATGGCCAGGTGTTCGAGTTTCTTAACACGTCGGCTCATGCGACAAGCGATTGTGTTCTTATTGCGTCTATCCTGATCCTTGGGCGTACGTTGTTTCTTGGGAAATTTTCGCACCATATTGCCATGATATTTACAAATGTCTCTTAGCGCTTCCGGACTGATGGCGGGCGGCAGGGATTGCGAGGACGAGGCAGACTCCGAGCCATTGGAGCCATCGCATATGGTGCTATTGAGACGTCGCCGCTTGGGCAGCGACAGAAGCACATCGCTGTACTCGCTGGAGCAGTGACTGCTCCTGCTCTCTTCACAATCCAGCCCGCTGTTGTAGCCATGGCCAATGCTGCTGCCAGGTGTGGCAATGCGTGCGAGCAGCTCCTCCTTGATCTGCAGCTCCAGCTCGTCACAGCGCGGACGCCTCAGGTCGAACTTCTTGTGACGATAGCTTTGCGGACTGTTGCCTTGTATTATCAGAGCCATTCTCTAGCTGTTAAGTGATGCGCTTCGGTTGTCTTCGTTTGACTGACTGTTGTCCTGCACCGAGGCGGGCCGAGCTTATATAGTACATAGAGAGAGATTGCTGCATTCGCGTGTCTTATCAACCGACTGCCGTAATCCGCAGTCGTTTATGATGTTGTTTACACAAATCGAAAAGGAAATTTATTTTTGCAAAACGAAAACAAAACCATAAAATCAGCTGACGGCCTGCGCACGTCCGACCCGTCCTGGCACCGCTTCGCGCATGCGCCGCTTACCTAAGTCGAGCCGAGCGCCGCCCGCTGATAAGCCTTTTGTGCATGCATGCTTGTGCTTGCGTGCTTGAGTGTGACCAGGCCCAGTTAATGAGCTGGCTTTGGGCATAGAATTCCTCAGAGATTTAAGTATTTGCCCAGCTCCCTAGGTGGCAAAATGCGCGCCTTTGTTTGGCTTTCATTCAATTTGCGTTTGTTCCGCAGCCAGATAATTTTTCTATTTTTTCTATTTTCCTATTCTGTTTGCCATTGTCTTTGCCATTGTCGCAGTTTTTGTCAATAGTCGGGCTGTGCCATGTGTTTTCTTTTAAACTCCATTCGAATTGTTCAATTTTTGGTTTTACCCACAGCATTTGCGGCTCATTTGTCTGGGTAAATTCGGTTTGTGTGCCGAACTATTGATAAGTTATTGTCGTGCTGGTTTGATTTTCCTCCTACTTGTCTTTCGCTTCTTTCTTCTTGTTTTTTTTTTTGGGTATTGCTTCTTGGAATTGGCATTCCTGGTGCATCATGCTGTTGACTGTGATAAGATGCAGAGTGCAGTGAGCTGTGCTCTTGTCTTTCACTGACTTTTGATCGGATTGCAAAAGGCACAAACTGGCACTGGCATTCATTACGCCAGCTGATAAGTTGGGCTGAGTTTTGCTTAAGACCTTATGCACCTAGATTATTAGAACTAAGCTGTAGATAAGTGAATGGTGCAGAGACCGGTTCGTTGGGGTAAAAAACTAGATTCTGTCTTGGGACCAAGATAAGATACGATAGGCGAAGAATGATATTAGGAAAAAACGGACCTATTTATTATTCAGAAGACTGCCACGAAAATAAAAACTCTGAAGTGTGAAAAACGGCTAGTATTTAATTACTTAAAGTTTTTAAAAATTCCGAATCACACATTCTGCTCATAGGAGTGTTTATATAAGTTTACATTAGAATAAAACAACTAAGAGGATTAAATATAATATTTACACTTGTTGAATAATACATTTTCAGAGACCGCAAGCTAAGCATGGGAAGTACCAGAATGTATTTGAATTGAGTGCATTTCTGGGAATATTCCTGCCACTTGGCTCTAAATTTAGCTAATGGAATTTATCTTAGATCAGTACTTAAGTACTTACGAAAGAGTTATGAAGAATATACATAATCTTAAACTTGACTAGTTAGTTTTTGTTGTTGTTTATTTAAATACACTTATTTATAGCTGATAATCTGCAGAGTCATTCAATAAGATTTGAGGCAAATTATTTGCATTAGTTTGTCCACTTGTCCGCACATACAAAAGATTTGTGGACTTTTAAAATAATTAAATATGCTATATATTGTGTTAAAATAACCAAAGCTATCTGGTGAGCGACATGTAGATACCCTGTAGCTGGTAATAATGAAAACTTGGCCGGGCATAACCGTCATATATCTTGTGCCAAGCGCAGACAAAGTTTATTCCCTTTTTTGAATGTATGCTTGCCTCTTTGAAACCCTTTTTCTATTATGCTATATCAATAATTCATGAAATAACTAAATAACTTTCAATCCGCTTATTACTGCAAATTGTTCGTTGAGGATTCTGTATAAAGAAAAGTCAGTCTCCCTCAAACGCTTAGATAATCATACGTGTATAAATGAATATTTGGGTAAGTAAATGTTTACAAAAACCATTATTTCTCCTCAATGAATAAGTTAACCTAAATAAAATTGGTGTAAATAATAAATTTCAATTACGTTGACATAGTTATACCCGTGTATATTACATAAGTGTTTTATTTGTATAGCTCCAACGGACGGTCTATCGTTCTATCTTTCGGTAACAATGTATAAGCTCGAAGATGTTCTGAGCACAACAATATAATCTATTATTGCATGAGAGTTAAACTTAAGCCAACTAAGTTTAGCGATATATGCTAAAACAATGGTATACGATTTGTATTTAGTAAGCAGAAGCGGTTGGAGTCAACAAAAAATTAATTGCCTTTAATTTGAGTATGGTATTCAACTGAAAATGGCTGGATTAGCACAGCTTTTGATTCTGATTAAGAACCTGTACAATCAATGGGGCCGGAGTGCGACTTGAATATACTTGCACAACTTCATTATACTCTCACATTGCTTTCAGACATAGGTACAGATTATACAAAATCCCTGATTCAGTGAAAGTTCTAAAACAATTAAATAAAATTATAAAACTACGAGCAAAAGTACAATAAAATAAGAAATGGTTTTTGCAGTTCAATTTGTATTTTTTTGAAGAATTATTACTAAAGTTAAACTTTTATTTTAACTTTTAATCAATTACGATCTCTGATTGGAACTGTCCTGTAACGTTAGTTTTCCCAGGTGCTTGCTTTAAATAAAAACTCAATCGATATGCCCATTAACCACGTACAGTTTTTTTTTTAATCTGAATAAGCTAAATGCTGACAGTAATGGAAGCATATGTCATGTTTTATAGTGTAAACTGCAATTATTTTATTTGTTCAGTGAGTGACTGGTGTAATTTCTACATGAGCTTCATTTTTCACAGATTTTTCACAGGGATTGAGAACATGTCGGTTAACATACATATATGCAAAGGGGCTTAAACATGTACAAGACCGTTGGATTGAATAAAAAAGGTGAGCGTCAAAGTTGAATCTTACAATACCTACTTACTAATACATATCCGTGTGAGGTATGCTTCGGGATGACGCAGGCAACGGGCTACTTTACTCCTGGGTAGCTGTTAAAAGTCAACCTGGCCAGCAGATTCACGAGCAGCACAGCCAATAATCGGCGCTACGAGGAAGCATCAAACGGCTTGGAGCGCATCGAAATCGGACAGCTGCCGGTAGTTGAGTGAGCTCTGGCTGAGCACGACCAGTTGGGGAATGATTCGACTTCACGACTTTTGTCTAGGGTATTTAATAATGTCGTTTGTATTTTGCTACTGATTTTGTTTTGGCTTTACTTTTCTCAGCGTCGCCGTCATTATTTTCAAGCTATTTTCGTTTCACTGGCAGCAGGCCCCCCCCATCCACTCCACTCTGCCGTGTTCCCGGCTGCGGGGCCTATTATTTGCCAATGCTGGCGCGTTGGACTCTAGCGTTGCGTCTACTCTCTATTTTCGCCATAAATACAAGCCAGTTGCCGGTCGTAGGTTTCAGATGCCAATTCGCATTTGCATGTGTCGGGGGTGTCGTTGGTGATACCGTCCACTTAAATTGAAATCCATCCCCAACGAAAGTGAAATTTGACTGTTCGAAGTAAAACTGAATTATTTTATTTTCGAAATGGCAAGTGTATTAAGTGGTATTATTTTGGTCACGTTCCTGTGCCTGAGCTTAGCTGCTGACGAAGGCTTCGTGTTGCCATCTGTCGAGTTCAAGCCCATCACAAAATTGGGTGAGTATTCTAAGGAAGTTCAACAAATTAAAAGCATTTAAGCCATTAAATGTTGCTGACCCAAGGAGAGAAAGAAGTTCGTGCCTTAAGTCTTTGTTTATTATGTGTTTCTCAAATAAATGATAGAGTTTCAATTTGATGTGATCAATGACTAGATATTATTTTATAAGTAAATTTCTGCCAGCTTCTGTATAACTATTTGCATCATGTCAACATCTTAAAAACTTTTTAATTGCCATGTCTACAAACAAGGTGCAAAAGCCCTAAAAATAAGTATTGTTCAATTTGACTTGTATGCCCTGAGCCGCCTTCGTTGTTTTACAGCAATGAAAGTATGTACGTAGAGACAACAATAAAATTGTTAAATTAGCAGATAAATATCAGTAATTGCAATAATATGCCATCATATAGCAACAATCGCGTCAAACACGCTAAGTTGTGCGAATTTTTTTTGCTATCAAATTCACGTGTACTAGGGCCAATTTTCTATTGAAAATTTAGCGAGAGTTGTCCGATGTATATAAAATATTTTATAAAATTGCTAAATTGCATAAAAAATTAATTTAAATAATTCTTTTTCAAAATGTTCAAATCATTTTTAATAGATTCCTTAACGATAATAATTGGCAATTGGAACTTTTTTATTAAATATGTTAATGAATGATGTTGCCTAAAAAGGTAGGGTAGTGTCCAAATATAAATGTGATTTGAAAATAATAAAATAATTAGTATTCAATATGTGTATATAGAAGACTATAAGTAGAAAAAATTACATATTGAGATAAAAAATGTATATCTATATGAATAAGAACTTTGTAGAACTAACTGGTATTTCTCGGCCTTGTCCGGGAGTATTTTTTGCTTTTTTCGATATCAAATAATGCTTAAAATTATATTTTACATAGATATCTATAAACGAGTTAAATGTTAATTCAATTAAGAACCAAAGGTTGCAATCAATATTTCCCGTAAATTTTAATCTCGAAATAAGTATCTTAAAGCTGATACAAATATTTTTGTTTAAATAATCTCTGGACAAGCAGTTTTCTATAAATCGATTGACAATATAAAGATTGGCTGAAAATGTCAATTTGAGAAGTCTAAGTGCAAGCTTTAAATTCAAAACTGTTGGGGCTATACATATTTAGATATGTGGGGCCTATTGCCGTCAAAATATTTTTGGCACAATCTTTAAAGCAAATCTTTGTGAGTTTGTAACTCAAAAAATCGTGATTTTTTACCTCCATAAAGGCAAAAAATGTTGTTGCTCTAAGAATACTTAAAAAGACATCAACAAGATTAGTACTTGAGTAAGCAAAGAGTAATTATTGCCAAGTATTCTTGATATCTGTTCTATAAAGCAGGCAATTTTCAATAGACGGAAATAATTGTATTAAATAATACTTTTATATGTAGTACTAAATTTTTTCAGCTTAAAGAAACTATTATTAAATAGTAAGCGTTCCAGAACAGGTTTTGACATTGAGATTATCCAGGCCTTCACAGTAATAAAGGAGTTTTGAACAAAGCTTTATATAAGTAATTATATTTTTTTGTGATTATTGACATAGAATACTTTTAAGCCTTGACTCGAATTTGCTCAAAACATCAAGATCAGAAGCTTTTGGTCGTTATATTTATGGCGCATGGAACAGGTCGCAGTCAATTGCCACTTCCGCTAAGTGGCCTTCCCCTGCCGCAGCGACCGTTGCAAAGAGCCTTCAGTACAAAAGATTTAAGCGACAAACTTGTTGCGGCAATGCGATATGAAGCGCTTAGTTAATGCTCAGGCAAAACGTTTGCAATTGAATGTTGGCATTTTTGTCACACAAAATGTTTAGGTAATTAAATAAAAATCTAAACAACAACGATTTAATTGCTCGCGCCGCTTCAGCGACTGTGCCTGGGTCTCGACTGGGGAAGGCAGGGGAGATTCGCAATTACATATGTGCGACATCGATTAACAAAAGCGAAATTCTCGTCTAGAATGTCACGTTCTGAGCATAAAGCGCATAGATCATAGCCGATACGAGATGCGTCCATATGTGTGTCAAGGCGATGCTCATGATTTCTATTTTGTATCATTCGAACTTGTTGATTAACTAAATATTTTTGAATATTTGAACAGCCGACGATATACCGACCTGCCGCCAGAAAGACAGCGACATTAATGAGTGCATTAGGCAGGGCTTTCAGCAGCTAACGCCACGCCTGAAATACGGCATCAGCGATCTGAACATACCGCCGATGGATCCCTTTCAGCTGGGCAAGAGCTCCTACAACTATAACTCGGGCATACTGCAGGGCCGCATTGCCATGAGGAATGTGCTGGTTCATGGCCTGAGCGAGGGTATTGTCGACAAGGTGGACTACCGTCAGAAGAACAATCGCGTACGCATGGAGATGCTAAGCCATGTGCCTCAGTTGCTGGCGGAGGGCGCCTACAAGGCGGACATCAAACTGAACGACATGAAGATAACTCCAAAGGGCACCTTCAATATTACGCTGGGTAAGTTTGGGTCATAATACCCGTACATACAAACATGTGTAATTACTGTGTCAACTACTCATATTTCACATTTTAGCCGACGTCAGCATGAAAACCCGCGCCTTGGGCGAACTATACGAGCGCGACGGTCACACCTATCTGCGTCTGACTAAGCTCGAGACTGAGCCCAAAGTGGGTGACATGCGCATCTATGCCAATGGCCTGGTGCCCGACCCGGCGCTGAGTGAGTGCGAAAAAATAGATATTCTTCTCAATTGCAATGACAGAAGTTTATAACCCGAACAATTCCATTGAATTTACAGATGATGTCATACTGGATTTCATCAACCAGTACTGGCAACAGCTCTATCAGTCTATGCTCCCGGAAACAATGGCCATTTGGGAGCCCATACTGCTCAAGGTGGGCAATGATTTCTTTGCTGCCCTCCCCTTCGACTTGCTTGTCACTAAGGATTAGACTAGTGGCCGTCAAACATTGTAGTCGGCTCCCTTTCGAATTATGGTTATATGCTTTCTTCATGGTGTTTATTTAGTTTGTATTCAAATAAAATGATTTTAGAAATTTACCGACCGTTTTCAAGTACCTAAACTTTGCAGAGCACTTCAGTCAAATGTATTAAACTTCTTTCCAAAAAATGTAATTGGAAATAATGAAATATTTAAATTCTTTAGAAATTGTTGAACCATGTTAGATACTCTCCGTCTGTCGTGTATGTAAATGTTAGTGCATTGCAATATTTTTGGCCCATCTGCGCTGTCTTGTGTTTTCAAGATTTTCTTTGATTATGGAAAACTCTTCAAACCTATTTCTAGTAATATTTTGCGCTTTATTGGTCTTGGTACTTTAATTATTATTAAAATTTCAAGTGCGTATGTTGCTTATTTATTATATTTATTAAAGGATTAATGATTATTTGTTATGCTTACACATTTGCTTATTTACAATATTATTGTTTATTGTTAATCTAGCATAATTTATTATTTATGTTTAAACTCAGATTGAAATTCGCATCCCCAAACATCAATGTTATTTATCTGCAATCCTCAGTTCAGTTCTTTCAGTTTGAGACAGTTTTCGTTTTCTGGGGTTATTGAAACTATCAAGTTCTTTTGATATCTAATGAACTTGAAAAATATTATTGTCAGACTCCAAATTCCAACTAATTAAATTTAATTCTTAAGCTTTCGTAGCACATGTTCTTAAAAGTTGAATATTAGCTAATAACTAAATAGAAGTCTCTCAACTTGAAGATTCCCGATTAAAATATACCCCTTCAAAAATCTTACCTCACAAATATTGAGACCAATTGATATTAAAGACGCACAAGCACATTGGGATCTCTGGATCCTATTATTGATAAGATCTTAAATTACCATTAATTTAATATTTATAAACAGTTATAGAGCCCCCTTAACACATTTTAGAGACAATGTTGACACTACTTAACAATGACTTTAAGTAGTTACAGGGTATAATTAGTTAACCGCAAACGCATAAGCCATTGTCAGCAGGCAATTATTTAAATTATTAATGCAAATCATTGTCATTCAAAATCCAACAACTAGTGATAGTATGTGGGATTGAAGCTTGCAACTGTCGTCTGTTTGAATCGTTTTCCATTTAATGATTCGGTATTATAAATCAGTCGCTAAGCCGGTTTTCAATCAGTCGAAGTCTAAATGCCGTTAACGCAACTGATATATAAGTACAATTTTCCTAGCTTAGTGGAATCGACTAACTTTCAATTATAGTCGTGCCTGTTCTGAGAATTGAGAATAAAATAGCACCAACCAGCACCCGTTCGATTCAGTTTGAGGTCGATCATTCTAACAGCAGGTTGGCGTTCGCCCAGCTGCAAAATCCAGAGGAAAATTTAAAAGCCAGGATAAGATCATCATTTGCTTTAGTATGCAGTTTATTGCGGTGGCAACGATTTGCCTTTTGGCCGGTGGAGCATATGCAGCGCCCGCCGAAGTCAAGTATCTCAATGGTGTGTATGGATTTAGATCAGATTGCGTATACGCAGGGTATAATTTAGTTTATTTTGCAATTGCTAGGCGACGATTTGCCAAAATGTCCTGCGGATGCCGACCAGGCTGGGGAGTGCATCAAGAATATAATGAATGAGCTGATACCACGCTTGCGGAAAGGAGATCCCGATCTAGGCATTCAACCGTACGATCCTTTCGTAATAGATCGCCTGAGCTTCCAGTATTCAAGTGGAGCGGTCAGTGGTCGCATTTCGGTGCGAAATGTCAAGCTCTACGGCTTTGCGGAGCACAAAATCCAGAAAGTTAATGTCAAAATCGATGGTGACAAGATCAAGCTGCGAATTGTCTCGCAATTGCCCAAGATGAATCTCCTTGGCAATTACAAAGCGGAAATGCTGGTCAACTCGCTGCAGCTGAAGCCCAAGGGCAACTTCAATGTAACACTGTGTGGGTAGAGAATCTATATTGCCCATTGGTGCATATATATATTGATATACGAGTTGGTTTTCCGATATGTCTATGCTTGCAGTTGATGTCGAGAACCGTGTGGTTACGGATGGCGAGTTTTATAACAAGGACGGACGCCGGTTTTTGCGTATCAAAGATATCGATGTGAATCCAAAGATCCGCGACATGATCATTAAGGCCAATGGCATTTTTCCGGATCCCGAGCTAGGTATGTGTGCTGGCTGTCTCTTAATTAAATACGACTTCTAATTGGATTTCTTCACAGACGAGCTTGCCTTAAATGTTGCCAACAGCTACTGGCGCGATATCTATGGCATTATCTTGCCGGAAACGCGAGAATCGTGGGCTCCTATCATGCTGCGCCTGATTAACGAGGCTCTGTCGCATGTGCCCATCGACCAGTTTATCCATGGACCCGAATAATATGGCATTAGTTTCACACTGTAAATCTGTAAAATAATTGCCTGTATATATATTGTTGTGATTGCCTTTAGTATCTATTTTATTATTATTCATATATCTTAGTAATATTCGCACTTGCAATTAAATTGTCATTTTTAAAGTGAGATTGAAACAGGTTTATTTAATTTTCATTTCGTTTTGGTCATGCCCCAGTTTTAGCATCAAATTATGTGCCCAAATGTGAAACAAAAAGCGCACTAACTTTTCGTAACGGCCCCCGCCCAGAGTGCACCTAGTTAATGGGGTTAGGTGCACGACAGGTTGACCTTGAAACGGGTATCTATCTATATAATATTTAAATTTGAAAGTGTGTATTGTGGGCAGGGGCCAAGTGTGTGTGCATTAAAGTGAAATTGAGCAAGTTGGCTTGCTGCGACTTCACTAACTCAGCAGTTTGAGAGCAACTGGCACATGGAAATGCACGTTGAAGCTGTCACAACTACTTTGAGTATAATTGAATTTGTATGCCGCAACAATCGTGACCACTTAGTAATACTTAGTTACTTAATTGAAAACATTTAAATATATTTTTAATGCAACAACGGCAACATGGACGTGTGAATACCCTCTCCCAGAGCCGGTCGAAATATCAGTAACCGAAATCTCTTCTAAATAGAAGAGGTAAATGTTTTTAATGTTTGCATTAGTTAATAGAGCATATTTTTTTTGGTTTTATTTAATAGAAGCTACGTCTTGTCAGCTGGGTAAAGGTTAATTTAAAATTAAAAAATGTTTTTCTAGACATTTTTTTAAAAACTATATTCTTGTAGTTTGGCTTATCAAATGTTTTTACTAAATTTCTATGATTACGCTTTGTTCCTGCACACTTATAAAATTAGTATAGAGCATCTGTTAAGCGTATGATATATGTTTCCGGTTGAGCTGTATAAGAGATATATATAACAAGTCTATGTGTTCAAGTTTATTTAAATTTCTTGATATTTATCGTCCCTGTAATCGGAAGATCTTGAATGGTGCATCTTAATTGGTTTCAATATTATTAATACTTACAATGTCGTACCGTAAGTAATCTTAGAGTATTTTTCTGAAAATAAAGATTTTATTATAAAGCAAAGATGATTTTCTCTGTTAGAACCCTTCTACGAGTGCCAGCAAGAGTTTTCTATACTAGTAGAAATTCAAATCTACTGAATACATGGGAAGGTCAAATGTATATATAATCTAGGAAAATAACATCTAAATGACCTGCAACATAGTTGAAAGTCTTTAAAACAAATTACATAGGTAAATATTTTAAAATATACCTTGACCAAGAATTACATTGCCTACTTAAGGGTGTCTGTAATTGTTTTCTTGTGCGTTGGAATTCCCATACAGTTAAAGCATGATTGGAGTGTAGATGAGGGTTGGTTGTTGTTGAAAATTCACTCTGGTTTCTCTTCAGTTGTCGAATAAATCTTTCGCCTTTTACTAAAGATTTCCGTGGAGAGGAACACTCTAATGAGTCTAAATGAAATTTTTCGCAGTGCCTGGCCGCATTTGTTGCCAGGCCATAATTAATATGTTCAAGTAAATCCTAGAAGACGGCAATTTGATCCAGCTAGTAATTTATGCGAATGAATATGTCAGTTATTTAATTGCTTATAGTTGCAGTTTAAGAAGCATTGGCCTCTCAGCTGATCTGCGTCGACTGGTGGCCATCATCCCTGCTTAGTTGGTGGCTGCATTGCGATTATGGACTTAAACAATAGTCAAAGGTGGATCAGCTGGGCGCAAACAGTTGACATAAATAATGTAGTTTGTAATTTAGTTGAGCAAAGTGTAAGCCTGAGGTGATGTTCTCTTGGGGAGCTTTTGTGCGCTCGGATCGGCGTAAACTATGCCATAAATCAGCGTATTATAAGTATGTGCTGCACACGTTTGTGCATATGGCTCATAAACGCCGATCAAGCGTGCTGTGCTTTGCATATGAATTATATTTGTGGATATACTTTGGATCTTATGTAAATAAATATAAGTATATACTGTAATTGCTGAATGGACATGCAAGGCACACGCACGACTGTCGTCTACTCGGAGACTTGCCAAGCATAATAATCATTGAGCATTAGATTTGTGTGTTTGTTTTTTCTTGCCAAAAACTTACTATGACGCATCTGCGCACAGAACTGTCAGCTAAAAGACACAGTTTTTCGGAAGTGCAGAAGTGAAGCACCTAAAGTGCAACAATCTGGATGTAAGTTATTCATTTCAGAAATCCTTCACACGTCACGTCGATCACCTTGGAGGCAAACGCCTAAAAACTTCAAAAATATAATACTCAACTTTATGGGATTTCTTGCTGGGCACGCAAGTGTAAATGGCGCAAAAGATTTATACCTGGCCTACATATTACATGCCCAGACGAAGGCGAAACCAATGCCTCGATTAGGCGCAGTGTCTGCCCAACGGAGCAGTGCAGCTCAAACTGTACTGGGATTGGCATTGTAATTGGATGTGTGATGACAGCTTCCTCATTGTTGCTTGATTGACGGATCTGTGGGTGCAATCTTTTGATTGTTGATTGACATTGTCCCAAGTGATTGATTTACATTCGAATTTGGGCTCAGTGTGCTGATAGAATTCTGTATACCCTACATACTCTATAGATTTATTGAAAATTAATTATAACATATTAAAATTAAAAATAACAAAGTAAAATTTTTAATTTGAATGATAATAAAATATGTAAGAATATTATTACTTAAATATATATATACAAAAATTGATAAGCAATAAGTACTAAACTATCCTGATAAAACTTTATTCAACAAGTTTTTGTGTTTTGTTGTTGTTTAGCCAGAAATGTACATTTAAATGTTAGTGTCTGAATAGTATACTTATTATATATACAATTATTATTATTTATTAAGGGTTCTTTCGTCTGTTGGTCAAGTCTTATGTTAGTCGGGGATTCCCAAATATTAATAAGTACTTAAAGAACATTTATTAAAAATACTATTAATTGCATTGCTTAAAAAACACTTAATTAGACAAAAATACAGTATTTTGAGTGTCATCATTTTGAGAAATATTTTTCTAGCCAAAATAAATATGCCAATAAATTATTCTGAGTATAAAATGTACTCGGTTAACGAATTGAGGCTTGTAATTATATAAATACATTTATATGTAAATGCTTCATGATTAAGAGTCGAATTATACTAACGTCTAGACGTGATTCAGATTTAGTACACTTAACATTCAAGTGCGGCTCTCAGTTGTGCCAACTCATGCTGAGCATTCCAAGTGCAGTGCTGCTGAAACTGTGGCGCACAAGTTCTCAAAGCAACTCAACGACTCAACACGTCAAAAGCTTCGAAAGCTCAGCCAGCGTCTACCGAAAGCCTTCGAATTGGTTGTTTTTGTTGTGTTGTTTTTTTTTTTCGGCAGCGCGCGCATGGAAAAACTTAAAAACCCGAGCTGAAAACTATAAATAAACGTGAGTTTTATGCAGCGCTCATTTGAAGATTTGCAAGCGGCGGGCCGCCAACGAAATTGTTCGCTGATTTTTGAAGTTGGCAGAAGCGAATTGTGTGTCTTTGGCAATTGGCTAGCAGTGTGTAGGTGTGTGTGTTGTTTGTGTGTGTTTTTGTGGGCTTGTGTGCACAATTGCAGCAACAATTGCAGTTAACCGAGAAAACGACAGCAACAACAAACTGTTAAAATTCATGTAGAAATAAAAGTGAAGCCGGTTTTAAAATTACGCAAAAAAAAAGCCAAGCGAAAATTGCCCTCTTGTCCGCTTATACACGTATGTGTGCGTGTGTTTGTGTATGTTTGTGCATGTGTTAAATCAAGCCACAAAACCGTCAAAGCACAACAAAAATTCAATTGAAACTAGTTAAGATTGCCAATTGTGAAAAGCGCTGTTCAAATTGACAACAACAGCAACTCTCAAATACAAAAAAGTAAAGAAAAGAAGAGATATGCAAGCGTTTTACATTTTGTTAACCATCGCGGCAGTCGGACTCGGAAGTGCCGCGTCGGCCACGCTGTCAGCATCCGCCACAAGCGACCCACAGGAGGCGGAATATGTGGCCGCCTCCTCACCAGGCTCACAGACGGATACAGGTAGATATATATATGCTCACAATTATGTATTATGCGGTTAGTCTTATGCAACAAGACTGCAAGAACTTGATATTTAAATGAACAGCAAAATGAAAAATCGAGTCAGTGAAACAAGTTTGTTGCCAAAGTCTTTTATTTGCCAAAGCGAAAATTGGAAATTGAAATGAATTATAATTCAGTTATATGACAAATATACGAATATCTGAATCTGACGTCCGTAAAAGCTGAAGGCAGTTGCGTAATTGCTTTCGTGGAATTCGTTACAGGAAATGTTGAGGTAAATTAAAGATTAAAAAAAAACTCATTCAGGTCATTTGATAGATTACAATTTGTTATCACATAAGCTCCCTAGAAAAGTTAATATATTTATAAACTGGATATTAGCAACATTTTTTGATGAAAGCTCGCTTGAAGACAGTTCAAATAGTCTTGGATTGCCTAAAAGGCAAGTATTACTTTCACATATCTAAGGCTAGAAATATGTCCTTAAAAGAAATTACCCCAATTTATATATCATATATATATATTTATGTTAAAGTTATGCATAGGTATGTTGTGTGCCTTGAAGAGTTTGTCAATACAGTAGTACTTATTATTTACGCCAACGACCTTCAACACCTCGACGCAACCCTAATCTTAAAGTGTGCTTTAAATGAGATTTCAGTTAAAATATTTCCATGCGTAACAGTAGAAAAATAAGTATCTGTAGAAATTAGCGGGTCTGCCTACCCAAAAAAAAACTTTTTATTTGCTTGACTTTTAACACCCAAGACAGTCATAAAAAATCTGCGCTGCTTGAACTTGACATATATTTTCGTTTTCATTTGTAGCTTGCTTATTTTTTTCTTTCGGTTGTGTGGTAAAAGTTATAAAACCGCAACAAGGCAATAACAAAAGCCGCACTGAAAGTGAATGCCGTAATTCAGTGACTGTCGAACTGTGCTTATGTGGCTTGTACAAACACAAATTCTGAGGCTCGCACTGCAAAAAATAAATTGATTGATTATGCAAAACAAACTAGCCGCGCAAAGCCATAATCAATATTATTTATCTCCAATTGCATTAATTAAATCAACCGCAAAGCAAAAAAAAAAAAAATTGATATAGATGTATTTGCTTTTGGGCTCTTGCGAAAATATCTCGCGTCAATAGCAGCAGCGACAACAAAGAGGCTTATAATACAAAATGAAACAACAACAGCCAAACAACAAAAAACCGGCTGCTGGCTCGGCGCATTTCTCAAAAGCACATAGCTAAAAACTGACCTACATCAATGCGAAAACGGCGACTACGTCGCTGCGACTTTAAGTTAGTGCGCTGATAGCTGCAATTGTAATTTATTTTATATTTAATTACGTAAAATGTCGAGCAATGATAACAGTAACAACAAGCACTGCAACAAAAGGGCGCTTGAAATGTATCGACATTTCCACCGAGGCTTGTGCAAACGAAAGACTTAGGCAACGAACTTCATTTCAGAGCCGCCACGAAAAAGGGCAACTTTAAAACATTAGCGACGCCCCGAAATGTTGACGCTTGAAGGAATGTGTATTTATTTTTAGTGAGTTGTCAGTTGAAACTATTGTTGTTGGCGCTTTTTCACCTTTGACATTGAACTTGTCAGCGAGTCCCCAAACACGCAAGCACTCAAAATTTGGCAGCAAAATTACAGACTTTCAAATTGCCTAGTCAAATCGCAAGCTTAATCGTCGTAAGAGTAGTTAACTACAAATGGAAGGTGAACAAAGTCTTGTCTCTTCATCGAGCGTTATTTGCGACTTTATATGTACTTACTTGGGTAATTTTCTGCTTTAATTGTATGGGATATTAAAAATAATTACAACCTTTTTTTTTTCGTTTCCGCTCAGAAGATTTATTGGCTGGAATGTCACTTAAAGAAACACATAACAATAGTCTTTTATGTGATAAGCTAATAAAGTGAAATTAAATGCGTCATCAGCATTTGTGGCAAAAGGTTATAATAAAGATTAAAGATCAAAGATAATAAGATCAATTTTGTTGTATGTAGTATAGAAAACTAATATAGAAAACATAATATTAAATAGAAAACTAATTACAGCTGTATTGTGTTCTAAAACTTCCATGACGGTCGGATAAAAAATATATTGTTTTTTTAATATTAATACTTATTAATATTAAAATTGGGTTAAAAATGTTGTATGTCCGTTTTTAGTGAGACGCAATTGCACAAAACCAGTTCTAGCGATATGTCTTTTGATTTAGCAGCATTCAAGTTTATGTTTGGATTCGGTACATATTTTTTTAATAAATACGTACCTTGTATTTTTTGCTGCTGACGTCAGTTTCAGAATTGATGTAGATAGTTTTCTGATCTAGACCTATTGCTGGGGCATAGTTTATTCCACAATTCGTTCATGTCAACCAGCGGATCATTAAACTCCAATTTGCTGGGCACGTGTGGGGCCCAGATCAGAGACCTTGAGTGCGACGCGTCGTTGTCACCTGTCACCCTGACACAAGGCACGCAAAGGCACAAAGGGCAACAACAGACGCAATTTGAATGTCAAAACTGAAGAAAACCTGTGCGAGGCATGTCAAACTGTGAGCTAAGCCATGCATGGCAACATGCATCGAAAGGCGCTATACGCAATGACGCATGCCTGGCTGAGCTTAATGAGCACGCTCTTAGCTTGGCTATGACTTAACCGACTGGCTTTTGGCTTTTGGCCATTAACATTAACTGCTTTGTACTAATATCTACCACTTTCGCTACTCTTGCAGCACCAGGAACGTCTAGTGATGGCCTCGCTGCCTGCAGCCTCAGCTCGTCGGAACTGGATGAATGCATACGGGGACTGTTCGATTCGATTGTGCCGAGATTGAAGTACCAGGGTCTGCCGGAGTATGGCTTGGGTTCGATTGATCCATACTTCTACAAGCGAGGCATCTTTCGGTACACGAACGATGGAATACAAGGCGGACTGCTTATAAAGAACATGGAAATTTACGGCATCAGCGGCCTGAAAGTGCACAGCGTTTCATCCAATTTCACGGACAGCGGCTTTGTCATCAAATTGGGCGTGGAGCTGCCACAGTTGAAGGCTGGCGGATACTTCAAGGCGGACGTTAAATTTGGCGGTCTGCGTTTGGTTCCCAAGGGACCATTTAACATAACAATTGGTAAGTTTCTCCGCAATTAATCCGTGGCTTGGAATTAAACGGCTTGCAATTAATAGACGACGTCAAGGCCACCATTCTAACCGATGGACACATTGAGCAACTGCCCAGTGGAAACCAGCGCCTTAGCTTGCATCGTCTGAATGCGAATGTAAATGTTGGAAGTGCTCGGGTCTTGGCCAATGGCATATTTTCGGACCGTAATCTAAGTAAGTAGCTGCCACAAATATAATCGGATATTTTTAAACATGTGTGTTTCGTTGCAGATGCTATGATCTTGAATCTGGTCAATGAGAATTTGCCAGAGATTACCCGCGTCGGCATTCCCGCCACCCGTGAGCAATGGGCGCCCATTTTGGTTGAGCATATCAACGAGTTCTTTGCCCCGGTTCCTATAGAAAAGTTCTTGGTTCAGTAAAGTGCTCAAAGCTCAAATTGTATGCATTTTGTAGCTAATTAGTTTTTAATTATAATTTACGAAATATCAATTATTTAAAATGCTGTTTCCAAATAATTACTGTGCTTATTGAGTTCTCAGCGATTTTTCGGCAAGAATTGTTACTTGAACAAAACGAAATTTATATATTTATTTATGTGAATCTTTCAGAAAAAAACATCTTTATATTTACAGATGTTTAAATATTTCAAAATTATTAAACTGTAATGAATAATTGATAACATTTCAATTGGCTTTTTAACTATTTAATGCTAACCAGGCTGAAAATGTTTGATGGGCATTGGATTCATTATTGGTCGATCCTAAAAGCATGCAATACAAATGAAATAGGTGTGGTGCACCAGTAGAGATAACATGTAGCGCACTTTACGGTAGTTGGGCGTCTGCAAAAATTGGGATCAATTGTTAAAACATGAGATCTTGAAATATACAATCAGCATAAAGAAATACCAGAGTTCGAATAAGTATACTTTTATTTCCAGCCTGAGTAGATGTTGCTTTAAAAAAAGGTTGCTTGAGCTAATCACGATAAGCTTTCAAAATCACGTATTTTTCAGTTTTAAGCTTGTAAAATGTAGATATGGGAAATTTCCCAGCTTAACCGAACTGTAATTGTAATCAAAATGTAACGCATTTTTCTAAATTGATTTTGAGACATAGCTTTTGCCCAGCCGCCTTTTGAACTTGATGCTTGTTCGGTTCAGTGAATTACTTTCGAAAATTCAACACTCCAAATCGAATCGAGAACACTTTGCGATCGATCAACAGGCAAATGCCCCTTGGCATTTCAATTACAGACAATTATTTGGCACAATATTGATATATACAGGCCAATTGTTCGATTTTGCCATCTCGCCAAAAGGTTGAGGCCACCCTGGCCGTGACACTCGAATCCGTCACATTTCATTTCAGGTGGGCGAGCATTTAGGGATTGTGCGAGGGAATCAAGTGGGAATCAAGTGAGCTAACAATGAACTGGCCAATTTTCGACAACAATTGATTTAATTTGTGATATTTTTAACACATGAAGCGCCGACGCCGCCGCTCGTGACAATACGCTTTGGCTGGATCTTGATTGATTTGATATTTAATTGAATCCTTGAGAGCGTTCCTGCAACGCGCATATTTTCAATACTACAGGTTGCACTTTGCTCTCATTAGCAATTTGTTATTTGTTTAAAAAAAAGAATAAGACGAATACAAAAAAGAATAGCTTGACAAAGAGAAATAAAATAAGCAATATGCTCTACATGTTGGAATGGACCATATTTAAGTTTTCATTTGAAGATGCTGAATTAAAAGAACGTTAAAAATTTGAAATTATTTTTTTTGCATTTGGCTTCGATAATCTTGTTTGACCGTTTCCTTATTTATTAAACGCAAAATGATCTTGCTCTAGCTACGAGCTATCTTTATATATATCAAGTAGTTTAAACGGCATTTTAAATTCTGAGGCTACACTCAGCAAAAATTCGAAGAACAATTTTAAAACTAGTACAACTACACTGATAGCTAAAATCATTTACAAACAAATATTATTTTGCTTACAAATTATTTGATTTTTATGAAACACAATACCATACATCCATATATAATAAGACTATGCGTGGTCTTTAATACCAGGTGTAGTTCAAGTGTAATCGGATTTCTTATGCTTGCATTTGTGTGTGTATGCATATGTAACTTTTAAACCAAATACTGACAAAGTTTACTTCACCTCTGTGATACCCTTCCCCGGTACGCTGCAACATATTTTCAAAATCGCCACTACTTGATTCTCATGAATTGAAGTAAGAATAGTCTTTCATACTTCAAACATTCAATATGGCAAAATATTTGTTCAGAATGTGAGTTACTCATGGTATAAGGTTCAAAAAGATTTAAGGATTATTCTATTTTATTTATTTTTAACTAACAATTTAAAAGTCGATAATTTTTGTAATAACCTTCCATCAGATAAGATGCGCCATTTCTGCCAGTGCATCATAATGACAATGCTAGAAAGCGGAGATGTAGTTGGCCTTTTAACAGTATGCAGCCACACAGAAATCGGTTGCCGGTCTAAATCCCAGTTTGTCTAGATTTGGTGCAACGCGCGTGTTCGGCTTATGTCTGGCTGCGAGCCAAGGCGGCATAGGAACAGGAGCAAGCGACGAGCATTTAAATAACAAGTTTCCAACTGAAAACTGCATGTGCATTAGAGATAAGCAAAAAGGTTACCAAAAGACGGCCAATACGCTGACTATCATGTATCGAAAAACAAGCAAATCAATGTGCGAAAATAATTGACGTTTCGGCTGCGTCTCCGTCTGCGTCTGCGCCGATTTTAACTTCGCTGTCATCGCTGCCGCTGGCGTTGGCGCTGCTTTCGACTGGCCGCGGCATAGCTGTTAACCTAACTTTGTTGAAGTCAGTTGGCTCAGAAGCTTGCGGACCTTGCTAGCCAACGGTCCTGTCTCTAATAAGCGCGCGAAGACAAAAAACGATATCGATTGTGGGACAAGACCCAGACGAGAACATACTCTGAGCCGTCTGCCCGCCCAGGTGAATGCCATCGGGCAACGTGCGTCGCATTCTAAAGCAAGAAGCGTTTCGGAGTGCGGTTATATACTATATTGTAACATTTATATATGGTCTGCAATTCTCGCTGAGCTTAAACGAAAACAAAATAGTAAAAATAAAAATATAATAAAAAAAAAATATTTTGCTGGCAAAATGTTTGCATTTTTGCGGATTTTATTACTTTGTGTGCATTTGTTGCATTTTAAAACGACATTAGCTGAGGATGTGCCATCGATAAGAACATTAACAACATCATTATCGGATCGAGTTCTAAAAACAAAGGCTGTGGAATCGCTGGCCGCGCCTAATGCCACAGTAGAGCCAGCCTTTGATGTCCCCGCGGATGGTGAGTAGACTGGATGTTAAGCAATGCCTAAAGAAAAGTGAATTTGTAAGTGAAGAAAAAAAGACTTAGGCAACAAACTTGGTGTAGAAAAACAAAAGACTTAAGCAACGAACTAGCGAATCAATAGATTTGAAAAACGCGAAAGTTACAAAGGTTTGCATGAAGCGGAAATTTAAGAACCAATTATTTGCAAATGAATTGAAGTATTTGTAAATTATTTGAAAAGCAAAAATTTTAATATCTAAAGCGTAATAGGCCAAGAAGATGGCAAAGCCATAAAACAGGATTTGACCAGAAAACATTTACCCTTAAATATTCGTTAAAAGTTTTTGATCATAAAAATAAATTTCTAAGCTGAAAAAAATGCATTTTTTTTTTTATTTATTAAAAGTCTGCAGAAATAGAAAAGCTGACGGTCAGAATCTGTAGCTGAAAATTAGCGTCTTTGCGATAAGACAGAACACCAAAAAATTCTTATTTAAATTAACAGAAATAAGTTGCTAATGAACAAGTGACCATATTTTCTGCTTGACTATCTAAGTCTATTTATTAGTTGCAAAACAAATCAAATAGTATTTCCAGCTCTCTTTGAATTTATAACAATATTTACATTACATGCTGCAAAAAATCACACGAAAGTTCAACGACTTGACGATACGCTATATTAGCCGATAAATTTATGCTTGGCACGCAATCGAATTGCTCGTGTGACCTTCAGAAGTCTATAAATTGCCTAGTGAAAATAAAGAGAATGCGATGTTTGTGAATCGCTATTTACCGCGTCCGTCTCTCTGCTCAGCCCCTTTGTTCCACTTTGTGGTTGAGTTCTCTGGAGCAAACACCAACTTTCTTTGGTTTGTACATACTCGTATTCTCACTTCCGAGATAGACAGAATGTGCCGTAGTTGAGGCGTATTTTAAAGAGTCTCTCAAATTGGCGCACTTCCACGCAATTGACAGGCCAGAACTGTGGGCTTGTCGTATACTATTGGCCGCGACATGAGTTCTCGTCACCTTTTATTTATGGCCAACAATTAGACAATAAGGCAGAACATAAACAGGCGTGATCTTTGCTTATGTTTAGCTTTGAAACCTCGCGACAACTTAAGCCTATTAATGAATTTCGGCAGAGAATATAAAAAAGAGTCCCAAGGCATTGGCCTACTCTTCACATAATTGAGTTTTCAGTTCCCAAGGGGCTTCGATTTGTTAAACGACTATAAACAGCAGCGACAGAAGCTTCAGCTGACAGACATCGCAATGAATGCAAGTTATATGGACACGCTTGCCTGTCCATATTAAAATGATACGCCCCATAAAGGTGGCCCAGCTCGTTGCTTACATGTCCTGCAGCTTATTTCAAGATTTACATCAGTCTGTGCTCGTATTAATCCAGTTTAATTAGTGCAGGGACTTGCCGGACGGCAGCTAGGTCTAGACCTTGAACTTGTGGGCTGGCCCATTGCAGTCTTATCTTTGGTTATCTCAGGTACCTTGTGCCAGCTGCTTGACACATAAGTTAATAAGTTTGTAACTCTGGGGGGTGTTGCTGACTCAAATCTGAAAGAAATCTCCAAAGTAATATGTAGTAAAATATGATTACGAGCTGTTAAAAGCCAACAAGCTAGGTACAGATTAAAAGTTCATTACCCTTTGGAAAGATTTAAGCCACAACCGCAACTACTTAAACAAATATGGAAAAAACGATGCGGCTAGGCACAATTTTTTAGCCAATCTGTCGCGCTATTTGACAAAGCACCAAGCCCACAAAAGAAGACCAACCAATATTTACTTAGCATTCGTTCACGCTGCGAGCCAATTCGAAGCTGGGGTCCACGCTTTGCGTGATTACTCAATATTTTGACATTTCTGTGCGTTGAAAATTTTGACAAAAACAAAAGCCAGAATATTGACAATAAACTTAAGCGCTTTTCAAGCTGAATGACAATTGCTGTGCCATTTTTTTTATTTTACTTCATGTCTTGCTTGTTTCTGTGCTGTGCGCCTTTCAACGCACAATTGACAAGATTTCATTGTAAGCTGTCGTGTCGCTCCCCCTAAGCAACTTTCTACTGTCACTTGTCATATACTATATTTATGTCTGGCATATGTGCATGTATGTCGGTATGTCCGTATGTGGGTATGTGTCAAGCCCATTGGCAGCTTCTTAAAAATGTCTTTGTCCATACTGCTCTTGTTGTTCTTTCAAGTTAACACAAATCTGCCATTTGTTTAATTTATTTAGCATTTCGCGTGTGGCCCATATTAAAGCTCGACTTGATTTATGTGCTCACCAAAACATACGCCTAAATGATTCGATTAGTTTTTTGTGTATATTGTTTTATGAGCTTACATTGTGTGTTATACCCCTTAAGCAAAAGCTGAAATGGGAATCACACACACCACGATGCAAATCATTTCATTCTTGTCAGAAGCAATTAACACGAATCTTATCTGTCAAGCATTAGATAATAATAATAATAAAAACATATTATTATTTGCATCAATACCCAAGTCAATGAAATCTTTAGTAAATAAATTAAAATAACCTTTTTAATAAAAATATTTTTAATTTTATTATTAATTAAACATCTTATGACGGTAATTGTGCCTTTATTTTTTTTAGATCTAAGTAGATGGATTTAGGCACAGTGCCTAACAATTTTGCCCTCCTGAATTAAAATCAACAAATAATGTGATCTTTTCGGAAGTGTTCGACTAATAGATACCCTAAAACCGTTTACCAACATTCCAGCTGCCTTCTATATATATATACATATATATAGATACACATGCATGTGAAATCATGCTGTTTTTATTTTGGGGGAATGGGGAGCTATTTAAAAAATAAAAATATTCCTAATCAAAGTATTTCTGTTTTTGAGTGCTTAAAAATAAAGCTCCAAAATAGATTTTTATCGATATTAAGGAATTTAAAGTCCTTAATTTTTCTTGCTTTATTTTGATGAACACGCGCTAGGTAGCTCAGGTGCAAAGGTTATTTGGGCATTTTAGGCACCGGAAAATCGTCAGTCTTGCTAAACTTATTGAGTTTCTGAATATCTTGGCCAATTGTTGCATAAATTCTTTTTGCATGCTTTGCAAATATCTTTCGTTAGCAAAGTGTAGAGCTAATGGATACTTTAAAATGCATTTGGTCCGATGGGCTACGTTTCGAAGGTGTATTCAGAAATGCTCGCATGCACGTGTTTTTTGCCCTGGTCGTGGACAAGGCGTAATGGAGACCACGTTGCAGACGTGTTACGCATATTGAATAAGCAAGTTACGAAGGAAGCCAAGCAGCCCAACAAATATGTTAGTGGGCACTTTAAGAGACACATACATTTTTGACTAATTCTGAGTCATTGGACTTGAATTTTGGTGCGTAATATATCCCAGTAAGAAAGCCAAACTACCTGTTACTCATGTGGCCCAATACATGCAACAATTTTTATGTTTATTGATAATGGCACAATTCACTTTTAATGGGTTTTAAATTGTTATGACAGCTGTCGACTACCAGGTCAATGGCTATTTATTTGGGAGTAAGTAGATATCAGATATTCTTATATTAGAAAAGTTGTAATATTTTGGTAACAATTCTTTCCGTTTAATTTACATATTTATTTTAAAACACAAAAAATGCCACAAATAATGCTGTCTCCTAATTTTGATTAAATTAAATAGCGTATTTATCGCCAAGCAATGCCCGGACGCAGCGACAACTTTTATTTGATCCGAGCTTGTTTCTACTGCAGGCCGGTCTGGCTGGCGGCGGAGCCTGGGAGGGCTCCAGGTGTCTGACCGCAAGGGGCCAGCCTGGCATTTGCGTGCGCATCAACAGTTGCCGGCAGTATTATCGCGTGGTGCGGCAGTTGTCCTTCATAGCAGTTCGTCAATGGCAGCCGACAGGCTCGTTGGGTCTGGGATCTGATATATGTAATTTTTATGATCAGCTCGGGCGCATCAACAACGGCATCTGTTGCCCAAGCATGGATACAAACACGCTTGGAATTTTTCCGATACCGATACCGACAACAACATCAACGACAACCACAACCACAACGACAACAACGGAGAAACCATTGACAGTTGCCGATGAGGTTGACGAGGCTGAAGGAGAGCAGGAGCCTGCAAATGTGCAGCCAGATCAGCCCCTCGATAATGCAGAGCCGGATACAGATCCAATTGATAATGCTAACAGCGTGGAGGACACGCCCGACTTTCAGGATATGAACACCATTGAGGCCAATGCGCCCGAGGCGCCACCAGCGGAACCAGCTCCATCGCCGACGCCACCCACTACCTCCGTTTATCCGTATCAATGGCCTTTTGGCACATTTGCTGGTGGCCTGCCACAGTGGCCGCCACCAATACCGACGCATCCGCCCACCGTTGGCGGCTGGCCACCTCCGATACCGACTCATCCGCCGAGTCATCAGTATCCAACGCATCCGACCACGCGACCTTATCCCCCCACGCCAAGTTCGGTGCTGACCACACGGCGCACCACACCACGTCCAGGGAGCAGACCTCCAACCACCACCAGACGGCCATCGACGGCAACGTCGACGACAACGCGCCGGCCGAGCAGCGGATTTAGTCCAGAGGGCCTGCCACTGCGGTGCGGTCACAAGAATCCAGTTTCACCCGATCAGGAGCGCATTGTGGGCGGCACTAATGCCAGTCCGTATGAGTTCCCTTGGATTGCGGTACTCTTTAAGTCCGGCAAACAGTTTTGTGGCGGCAGCTTGATAACCAACAATCACATTCTCACAGCAGCCCATTGCGTGGCACGGTAAGTTGTGAAGTTCCGTATATTTGGTATTAAACATTATTGTATACAAATTCTAGGATGACCTCATGGGATGTGGCCGCCTTAACTGCCCATCTGGGTGACTACAATATACGCACGGACTTCGAGGTGCAGCACGTCTCACGTCGCATCAAACGCCTCGTGCGGCACAAGGGGTTCGAGTTCAGCACGCTGGTAAGTGACATATTGGGGCTACCCCTTGCAACACTCAGTGATAACCTCTTTATGCTAGCACAATGATATTGCTATTTTGACGTTGAGCGAGCCGGTGCCGTTCAGCAGCGAGATCCAGCCGATTTGTCTGCCCACCTCGCCGACTCAACAGTCGCGCTCCTACAGCGGCCAGGTGGCCACCGTCGCCGGCTGGGGCAGTCTGCGCGAGAACGGACCGCAGCCATCCATTCTACAAAAGGTGGACGTCACCATTTGGGCGAATGCAGAGTGCGCTCAGAAATATGGACGAGCTGCGCCCGGCGGCATCATTGAGTCCATGATCTGTGCTGGCCAGGCTGCCAAGGATTCGTGCAGCGTTAGTCAAAGTCTTTTTATTCCCTATATGATTCATTATGCTAATCCTGCTGATCTTTAACAGGGCGACTCTGGTGGTCCGATGATCGTCAATGAAGGCAGCCGCTACACCCAGGTGGGCGTCGTCTCGTGGGGCATTGGCTGCGGCAAGGGGCAGTATCCTGGAGTCTACACGCGTGTCACCTCGTTGCTGCCATGGATCTACAAGAACATCAAATGAACGTAGTATTTTCTATAGATTAAGTCGTGATATTGAGACAAGTGTAATAAACATTATAAACTGCACTCCCACTAGTTACTCTACATTTAAATACAGTTTTCCTATAAAATGGGTAAAAAGATAGGACCTCGATGGGAATTTATTGCTACATTTAATATTATTAGTGACACTATTATTATTAGTTAATGAGGAAACATTTTTAAACTAACGACTTAACTCTTTAACAACACTGGAATATCAATATGAACTTTGGCTAAGACATCTCTACATTTATCAGTTGCCCGGATGATTGGAATTCTAATTAAGATTTGCATGTTTAAACTTTTCTAAACCCAAATTTGGAGAGTAGGATCTAGAATACTTTGAAACATGTTTGAGAGCTGCCACAGTTGACTTTAGTTGGTTTGGCTGGGATTTTGTTTTAATTGGACATTTAATATTTGCTGTTGCCTTATTTATAATGGAAGCTCACCGAGTTGATCTATATAAATCATGATTGAAAACATAAAGATTAACGAAAACAAGATACATTTTCGGCATGATAACTTTAATTTAAATGCCGTGAATAGTTTTTATTTATTTGCTCTTCTCATTATTGTGGCTTTTGTATCATGTTTCCCATTGAAAATTCATTAATGAGGGATATATTCCCAAGGGAAAATTAACAATTAAGAAATAATTTTCTAAAACCCAGATCAATAGGCATAAACGCACTTCTGGCTATAAGGTGCAGCTGGCGGCATTTACAGGCTAGTTCAGGTGCGATTCAGGTGAATCACAACCTGAAAAGTGCCCTAAAAGTGGTTTTGGCTTGTGCTAAGATTGCATTTATTGACAGCCCCAAAATATGCAACATCCGTTTTTTTTTACCAAAAACCGCTAAAAGGTGGTTAATTTTGTCCAGCTAAGTTTCTCCAATAAGACTGCATGGTAAAATGAATAGAGACAAAGGAAGACATAAAATTTTACCTTTGCCAATCTTTCAACTCTTTTAGTGAACATCAATTAGATGATTTGCTTATTAATTGCAGGCTGCAATTGCTAAGATTATTAATTCTTAATTAATTAACTATTATAGACGACCGACTAACTGCTGATCAACTCGAGAGCTGATTTAATAATTGAAATTTGATACTTAGACGAAATTTTAAAAGATCAGTTTTAATGAAATATTTAAACCAAACAACTTAAATAATGATTTAGAACAATCCCACAACTTGGTACGCGCCTAACAGATTACATTTAAAGTTTATTAAGATGCACAAGCTTATTAGTTAATTAGGATCCAAACTCTATTTGAATCAAGTCTCAAAAATTTACTCATTTTTTTGTGGTTTGGCTAGCGAACCAGCTATCATATATATATATATATATGTATATCTACCTATATTTGGGTTCGAATCTTGTTTCGCCAGACTTTTTATTTTCTATATATTTTTATTTTTTATAACCGAAAATGAACTAAATATTTACTAATATTATAAAAGAAAATTTTTCTTTACTAATCCATTTTTATATTTTGTTTTAGGTTATGTTCGACCCTTGTTTATCCATCCAGTTCGGTTTATTGTATTCCAACCCCGTTGTAGACTTGATTTGAGTCGTGTTTTGTTTTTCTTTGAATTAAACGTCCAACTCTGTGCAAATCGGTTAGCTTATGTGAAACAAATATAAGTAAACAACATCAATTCGTTTTGCATTTTATCGTCAAGAGAAAAAGAATCTTATGGCATTATGACTGCATTACGCGAATTCACTTTCGATGATCTCTTTAAGTTTAACAGGATTGTTCTCGATCCCCTGACCGAAGTCTATTCGATCTCATTCTTCATGGCCAAAATACTTGAATTTCCAATGCTGGCCAAAGTTGCAGTTGCCCCCAACGGGAAGCTGGTGGGATTTATTTTGGGTTCTCGTGTCATTAAGGACGAACTAGTTGGCGATGGCAAGGACTTGGATCTGATAAGCAGCCATGGCCACGTCAGCGCCCTGTCCATTGACCATGAGTTTCGACGCTTGGGTCTGGGCTCCCTTCTGATGGAGCGCCTGCATACCAGCCTGGACCAGCAGCGGGATTGGTATGTATTTCTGTTTGTGCGCAGCAAGAATCAAGGCGCTATCAGGTTCTATCAGCTGTTGGGCTACGTAAAGTATCGCTGGCTTCCTCATTTCTATGGCGATGATAGCGGCTATGAGATGCGCTTGCCCCTACCGCGGGACATTGAGCGTATTTGCCTGAAGGAGAAGGATAATATGGTGGAGGGATTTTATAGCGCTGGAAAGCAGCTAGTGCGACTGCTGATGAGGTGTCTGGTAAGGCTTAAGAATACCATATTAAAAGCCTTATGATAAGCTTGTCAGTTTGTTTGAATGTTTGAATGTGAATCATATAAGATTGTAAATAACACTCACTCTACATGATCAAAATCTATTTGTTTTATTCTAGCACCATTTCCCGATTCCAGCATGACTTGTCTACGCGAGATGCATCTCGACGATCTATTTAAATTTAATACGTTGGTCTTTGATCCGTTCACGGAGGTGTATCGCCTCAGCTTCTTCCTGCGTCACCTGGCCCAGTGGCCCGATCTTGCGGTGGCTGCTCTTTCACCCGATGGCCAGTTGGAGGGCTTCATATTTGGCAAGTGCTTGGACGGGCTGAGGGACCACACTCAGTTGCATGGTCATGTCTGCGCCCTAACTGTGTCGTCTGATTATCGTCGTTTAGGTGTCGCCTCTCTCCTTATGAACCACTTTGGGCACATGTTGGACCTGAGGAGTGCCTGGTATGTGGATCTGTATTGCCGCTGCAGCAACCAGGCTGCCTACAAGCTCTATTGCGCCCTGGGCTACTGCCTGCGGCGTGTGCTACTCGAGTACTATCCCGGCGATCCGGAGGAGGATGCCTACGACATGCGGAAGCCGTTGTCCATCGACGTGGAACGCCTTACCTTAGCTCTCGCCAGCAGGCAGTCAGTCCGCCTGCCCCCCGACGAGGATAGCGATGACGACTACTATTAGGCCGGATCATAAATAAATTTTCGTTTTCCTTTTGGCATACACTTCGGTTTGTTCGACTAATTAAGTAAAAAATTCAATTGCGCTAAATTTAAACGGCAGCCAAATTTCCGCTGACGCACAGAACTAAACCAAGAAACTAAGATAGGTATATATATATATATATATATGCACGCATACAGCTGCGTCTTAATGCTGTTTTTTATGCCAAACAAATTTAATTGCAAAAATAAAAATAAATTAAAAAGCATTGAAACACTTGCGTCGCGTCCATTTCAATGGTCAAGGCTCATGCTGCGGCTTTTTATTGGCAACAATTTTTTGTTTTTCAATACAATTAGAAAGACGTTTTCTGTTTCTCTTTGTTTGTTTTTTTTTTTAAATTTTTTTATTACGTATATATGCGACACACAGCAAGCCATTTGCATGTTTAAAACACGCGCAATGATTTTTATAATTCGCGCATCTCGAAACGCATAAGATATTTCCTCACTGAGTTATGGCGAATTTCTTTCAGTGCCTTTGTGTCTGTTTGTATATCCATTCATGACATGTGTTTAGTTTTCTTTTAAGCGATTTGTTTTAAATATTCTGTTGAATTTGCCAACGACGAGTGCAATGAACTTTTTATTGGGGTTTTCCTGGGTTCAATTGTGTTTTTAGCTAAAATATTTTGAAAGCCCGAATACATTTTATGCTAGTTCCAGACCAATCGATTTTTCTACATTTCAGATCCAGTAGAGCTGAAAATATCAGGCACACAAAGTTTTAAAAAACGGGACAAAAAGAAAGATTTATGTTCAGGAATCGAAAGAAATATTATTCTACAAGCAAAATGTATTTGGGGATTTTTAATCTGGGTAGAATGGAGGATCTACACGATGCTATAAGCTGATTTCAATCGACATTTTGTTTAAAAAGCATAAAACTCGTTGTTTAAATGACTTTTATTATCCGCTTAGCTCTAAACTATATGACGTAAATTCTTTGCCTGCAACAAAAATAATAGTTAATCTAAAATATCATCAAAACCCAGAATAGTTTTTTAGAATTACGGAGACTGACTTTCATTTTAGTCATATAGTATGGGTACATGCTTAAAATCAATCTCTGTGCCAAAGTGAATAAACGAACGGAGGCATCATTTTTCTGCTATAACTTAACTTACAGCCAAAAGTTGTGCACTACAGGCAGTTGGCATATTATGATCAGATTTAAATAGCTGACGATTCAATTAATTCAGCGTCATCTCAATGCTTTTTAATTCAATTATTGGGCGGCCGCAGCCACTTTATAGTTAATTTGTCGGCCACTTGAAAGCTTCGAAGTATTCAAATATACAAACTCGTAATTCAAACAAAATGCTTTACGCTCTTCTAATGAGGTTAATGTTCGAGGCACGTTGACTCAGACCCGGCCGCTGTGCGCTTTTCAACAGTCTATTTATAAATTTTAATGGCGCATTTTGCACAAAAATAAAGTACAAACCAATTTGAATATATATGCAGAAGATAGATTCACATGCATGGATATATATTTACATATATATATAGATATATATAGCGCATCAGCATAATTAATGAACACAACTAAAAGAAGTGTGCGAAAAAGCCTATTAAAATTGTAGGCAGGTGGTCTAGAGTCAAAGCTGAGCATGTAAATAGACCATCTATCTAGCACATATATATCTTGCCTATATATGCATATATATATGTATATGTATATGTATATGAATGTATCTTTTGTATGAAGATGAATGAATCTCTAATGCCGAAGACATTGCATATTCGATAAGCTATATATTGGGTTGGTTCGTCTGGCTAGACCTTATAGTATCGACTTTTAGTTTTCGTTTTATTTATGTGATTTATTGTGATATATCCCAGCATGTGGCCACGTTGCAGGAACTTTTGACTGACCAAGCCATTTGGTATCATACACTTGGCTTTCATGCTATTGTGTGCATGATATTTGGCGGCGAATGGTCCACAGTTTTTATAGATATATACAAAAAATATACTATATACTGATTCGACGCTTTTTCTATGTACTAGAACTCAAACAGACACGAGCTGCATGCGCCTATTTGTTTACATGTTTTCTTTTTGGCGTTTCGCTTTTTTGGCACCCGATCAAATTGACAAAAAGCTAAAACATATTGCCAGTCCTACGTACGTTTTAAGTACCAGATGGATACAGTCGCGGTCATATTTATAAATACAATTTGAACAAAGAGTTATATCAGTTGCTAACGTTTGGCTAAAAATTGTTATTTGTTTTCAACTTTTCCATACTTTTCGTACCTGTTTCTCGCAGAAGAGAAAACTATCGAAAACTATTTAAATCAAAGAGCAGCATTAATTTATTGCATGTTGAACAAGAGCATATAGCCAAGTATTTCTAATGCCTCTGGCAAGCATTTGCGGCTCTTTTGGGGGCTGCCTAATGCTCATAAGTACAAATAAATAAATAACAAGTACAAACAACGGCCAGTGATCGCCCACTGATTGCCGCTTGCTCAATTTTTCTTTTAAATAAACTCAAAATTCATAGAATTTTCCAAGCAGACGCACTTTACACACACACACACACGGATATAGACACACACACACACACACACACACACACACACCAAGTCAGAGAATAGCCGAAATATATAAAGGAAATTCATTTCGAAATGTGATTTTTTCGGCTTTTCGCCCAAGAAATGTTCGTGTGCGAATTCAGTGCGACTTGGGCTGCTAACTTGAACGCGTTGCAAACGAGAAAATCATTCGAAATAGAAATCTTCAACTATAAACTAACATATATCTATCCATCTATCTAGCTAGCTGTCTATATAGCCGAGTGCGGTATATATAGATCTATTCGCCGAGTCTGCAGCACGGGCAAAAGTGAGCAATGCGTCGTGCCGCGTTTTATAAATAGAAAATTACAAAATACTTACGCGAAAATTTGTGAAAAAGGTTTTTCATGCTGACTCTTGTAAACCCAAAAGACTAGACATGTTTTTGGAGGCTGTTCTACGTATCAATCTGAATACACCACAAAACTATTTGCCGAGCATGCCTGTGTGTGTGTGCGTGTGTGAGTGTGTGTGAATGCGCGCTAGTGCCTCTGAATTTTATGTTACATAAGAAGGCGTGATCTTTGTGCAAAATAAAAACCGAAAATTATTCAAATTATTCAAATTAGTCAAAGCAAACCCTTGATTCATAGCAACTGCTCAAATTTTCTATAAATTTTCAGTGTTTTTTTGTGCATAGATTGACAACCTCTCCGTAGAAAAAGATTTGAAATAAGCAACAACAACGACGACCACGACTACGACTACGATTTATTGCTGTCGAATTGAGATAAATATTTCAGTCCAAAAAACAGGAAGCCAAACATAAAAAGCAATGAATTCTGGGTAAGTAAGAAAACTACCATTTGAAAAAGGGAATAACAATTTGCAGATTATGAGAAAATTATGTTTATACCAAACTTACTGACAAAAGGTCAAATTTTGATAAAAATTGAATAATATAATATAATAATTTTGGCATTTTTCTACAAAGTGAATCAAAACATGAACACATGTATTTAGAAAATTATGTTTGAGTATTTCAAATGGAATTACTTGTAGCTAAAATCTAGCGTTATTGATCTATAAAATATATTTATATATATTTGAGGTCGATCTATAATAAACGATTTGAATAGAGAGCTATACCCATTGTTTATTTTATATATAAGCGTATTTTAAAAGCTCGGAAGATTAAGCAACTACGTGTTGGACCAAACTTATATGGACCAGAGCAGGTGCTGATGCGATTCATAAAAAATATGAGAGCCCCACGCCCGGCAAATAAAGGAAAAAATAAATTTTTATTCTTGCCGAAATAAATAAAACATATGCTCTATGCTCATAAATAAATACATATATTTGGGAAACACACATACAACAGGCTCTCAATTAAGGTTCATATAAAATTTGAAGGCCACCAAGCGTCCACGCCCACGCCCATGCCCACGCCCACGTCCACACCCAATGCCCATGCTCAAAGTGAGGGGGTGGTGTTGATGACACTGGCGATGTCTCTTTGGGCTTCATCTCTTGGCTGGCAGCCCTCGGGACTGCATGCGCATTTTGGCAGGCGACATCTTCATCTTGTTCGTTCACTTTTCCGCTTTCCCACACTAACGAAAATTAATTAGTCAATTTTCATGTTTGCAACAAACTCTTGCCTTTAAATTCATATACACTTCGTACTAGTAAATTTAGAACACGTGTTCGAAATATAGCTGACGACAGCTGCGGAAGTTTGCTGCCACGCACTTGAGAGGTCGGAAAATGAAAAGTTTTCAAATAGCCTAGAATTTGGCATAAAAATGCATTTCATTTTTTGAGGTTTTCTGAATGAGTCGATTTATTTTTTGCATTTCTCTGTTGACGTTGATATGTCGCGCATAAATTCTGAACGACCGTCGAGAAAATGCTTTGCGAAAAACGAAAATATATTCAGAAAATTGGGTCAAATTCGTGTACTAGAAAAACAGTTTTCCTCAAGATTTTAGAGAACATTTTTTTTTTAATATATGCAGTTATAAGAACTTTTTTGCTGTCAAAACTGTGAATAAATAAGTTTGTGCTTCATTTTCATTAATAACTTTTGTATTTATTTATTTATTTTGTATTTATTTAAACAAACTAGGCATTGGGATAAACTAACGACCACCACAAAGGGAAAAGTTCACTTGATGAACCAAAAAAAATATATCATAGTAGAACATACGGATAAAGCAATTAACTTATTTTAAATAAATAAATACATAGTTGTGGAAGGAAAAATGATCGAAAGAGAGCTTTCTTAGATTCGATTAGCTAAGATTGTTTATCAAAAAAATTTGTTTTACAAAGATTTTTCTATAAACTATTATGACAAAGAACTTTTCTTAACATTATATAAAATCTGTGTAAGGATTATTTTAGCTTGATTCGAATAGATTTATATATATTTGCATTTTGAACTCTTTCATCTTGGCCATGACTTTCATATGTGAACTTGTTAATTGTCGTAAAAACAAAATGTGAAACGCACAAAAATCCATTAATTTGCGTGCGAACTTGAATTTATAAACGGAATACATACGAATGTTTACTTGATTTGTGAATCTTTTATATTTCGAAGGTGTATTTTACGATGATGTTTTGATGCATTACGTAGATTTCTGTCGGCGACAATTATTTTGACACTTCTTGGCTGGTTGTTATTGTGAGTTACGTAAATCGGGTGTGAATTTATTTACTTTACGCATTTTTGCATTCAAAATTTTAAGTGGGATATTTTTCACTGCTGCTGTTGTGTATTTGCACTTGAGTTCAAACGTGCGCGAAATGACCGTGAAATATGTGCTCACAAAAGGAATAAAAAAAACGACCGGCAACTAATGGGAAAAGGCGCAAATATTTGCTAAAGAATTAAATAAATGAAAGAGTTTAAAATGAACTAAGCTCAGTTTGAGGGAAAGTGTCTGCTTCATAAGTACTTGCTCATTATTCATACACACATATTTCTAGCGATTTGCTTGCGTCATTTTTCCCAATATTGCTGTAATTTTTCACAGTAAACAGAAAGAGCACAAAAACAATTTGTTTACTAGTCAAATTATAAATAAACAAAAAAAAAAAAAATGCAGGCGGGGCCAACTAGCTGGTTGACTGTCTGCCTTTTTCTCGTACGGGCCACATGTGGCCAGCGTTGGAAAATTTATTTTGGAAAAAAAAAATATAATTTTTTTCGAATCTCCACTGAAGAAGAAATATAGCCGCATTATATTGTGCAACAGGCGCGGGCTGCCACTTCGTCTTCGACTTGCAACTGCAGCTTTAACTTGGACTTGAGCTTGGGCGCCGAGGCGAGTCTACTTTCACTTAAGTCGCGCCGCTGGTGACCCGACAGATTAATATAAATAATTATGATTCCAGCCGGGCAGCGGGATAACCGGACAGACTGTCTGATGTGCTCATGTCATGCAATCAATGCAGTCCAGGCCAGCTCAATGACAAATGACAAAAAAAAAACGGGTTGCAGTTGCATGCCACGGAGGCAGCCGTAGAAAGCGCCATTCAATGATGTATGGCCTCTGCGCAGCGAATTCAATTGTTGATTGCCAATTTATTTTTGTTGTTAGTTGTTAGTTTTCTTTGAATATTTAATTTCAAGGTCGCACAACAATAAGCCCGATGATGAGAATAGGGCCCGAAATCATATTAAACGATTTGCTCGTGTTGTTTTTTTTTTTGTTTTAGTTTTCCTTTTCTTTTTTTTTTTTACTGCGTGCGGGGGTGTCGTCGAAAACAGTTTTTTATTGCCCAGTATTTATCGCAGTTTTTCACTTTTAGTTTTTTTTTCTTTTCTTTCCGTTGTATTTTCGCAAATGGCGCATAAATTTGAGTTTTTGTAGTTATTTTTTTGTGAATTTTCATTTTAGCCAATTAATTAGTTGGCATATAATTATACATACGTACATATATGTTTATATTTTTCTATAAGCTGTATATGGTTATTCGAAACCTCCTTATGGAAAATTTGAATATTTGTAAGTCCATCCCCACAAGGTATATATGTATATATATATATTTTTGGTCAACGATGCAATATCAAATTTCAGCTAAGGGTCTTTGAGCATACCTAGAAGAACAAATTAGCTATATTTATCGACTTTACTTTCGTTCAATAGTCAATTTTTCTCGACTGTAACTAATTGAAGTGAAGCAGACTTCTTTGAATGGATCAAATGCAAAAAATTATATTTCCTCATTTGAAAATTTAATATCTATAGTTAAGTTTTATTACCGAAAATAGCCTGGATTACAAATTAGCAGAGATCTCATTAAGCATCATTATAAAATTTTACATGCAATAAAATCATTGAAAACTCTGACAGAAAAATAAGTCTTAAAAAAAAGATTTAACAAATTCTAAAGTTTGTTTTGAAAGCGAGAAAAAACATTTTACACATAATTAAAACATTTCCCCCAGCCGTTTTTCGGTTTGCCACAATGCAGTCAATATCAATGGCCCCTCAATTATGTAGCCCTTGTTGATTGATCGGAAAGCTGGTTGTCCAAGTGCTTGTTGGTATCTATCTGGTATCTGTCTGGGTGCGTATGACCCACTTTTTGGCGCGCCAAGAAATTATTGAATGAATAATAAGTTGAAACCATTTTCTGACAGCTAAGCAGCGTTTCATTCAATAACAACAACAACAACAGATTATTGACAGGCACTCAAACCGCCAGAGTGCGTCAATGGATCAATAGTTTTTGGTAGTGGGCCAGCTGTTTGGTGTCAGATCCGTGAGTCATTATTGGGTGGCTTGCCACAGTGTCTCCTCCTGCTGATCATCCTCCATTTCAAACAAGTCCGGCTCGCCGTGCAGGACCACCTTAAACTGGAGCTTGCAGCGATCGCCAGTCGTGCAATGCTCCCAGACGTCTGTTGCCGTGTAGATCAAATAGTCCATGTTGCTGTGGAGCAGCTCCTCGCTGTCCAGGAGCGGGGCATCCAGAAAGTTGCGCAAGCAGCGCAGGCCACGTACCTCGCGTCCCTCCGGACCGTGCAGCAGACTGACATGGGCGCTCACTTTGCGTGACGCAACCGGACTTATCAGATAGAGTACGTACATCTGCTCCAGATTGGGCGCTGGCGGGCTGACATACAGCATTAGTATTATGGGCAGATGATGTACCAGCTGCAGCTCCGGCCCGATGGGACGACTGCGGCTCGCATTGTTCGAGCCGGCGTACGCAATCACACCCACAACATGATTGCAGCCCGGCGTCAGCTTGGCCAAGTCCAGGTCATAGACAGTGTGCCATTCGGCGCCGATCTCCAGCATCGAGTCCTCGGGGCGATGGCGCATTAACAGATGCGCCAGCAGCTCCTGTGGCGTCAGTTGCGAATGACAGTCCTTAACAGGACATTTCGCGGGAATACCATCGAAGAGGTCCAAGTGTGCAAAGGCGTTCTTGGTTAAAAATAGGCGCTCGATGACTGAGTCTACTTGTGAGCTGAAAAGTCCACTTACCATTATTGTAAAAGGCTTTTGAATTTAATATACAACTTGTAAAACGTTTACGACGCTCAAATTTTAGGTTATTTACGGAAAAAAGCAAAACCTCAAAACTGACAGTTAAATCGAAGGACCCTTTCATTTATCTTATGCAGCCCTAATATAAAAAGCGTGCCTCAAATCGATTATTATTCCCCATCGATACGCCCGAATTCTAGAACATTATTTAATTAATGGTATTTAATACAATTTAAGCAACATTTTGAGAATATAATTATTCACCAGAGAGTACAGAAAAATAACGGCTGACAATTCAGAGATGTTAACAGTACGCATGGATATATCGAGTATACGACTATTGAATCAAGTTTCTAGCAGAACCACTCGATTTTAAATTTTGCACCAAATTAATCCCCCAAAAAGCGGATATTTTCCATTATGAATTGACTTTGTTTTTATCAAACACGCTTCAGTTTTGATGTAAGATTGAAATTGATGTCCTCAAATAAAAACATTTAATGATTTTTGAGTTTTATATTTAATTGCTAGAAATTTCTTAAAATAACAAAGTACACAAATTATAATATTGGCCGAGAAATGTGTGACCAGACTTTTCTCAACATGGCCAAGAGATGTGTGGCCAGACTTTTCTCAACATGTTTTTGGTACTCTGCTTTCTTCTTACATGTACATATGTTTTTGTAATCACAGCTAATTTCGAGTCGATACTTTTTAAAAATTAAATTGGCCATAAATTAGTTTTGTCTTACACCAAATTAAATCTGTCCAATTATTTGTTAGAAAACTACAATAAGGTAGCTGAACCGTGTTGCCTAGTGTAACATACAAATCTAATTTTCTAGTACAATAATTGCATCTGTCGAGGTCGTGTTAATCTTTCCACGGGGCTTTCTAAGCAGTCACCGTGTTTTTAGGTAAAGGGCAAACTGATAATAAGTGCGGCGCTATCAGTGAACAGATACATTTGTATCTCAAGGCCGACGGCATGTCATATTTCCGCTCAATTGGGGCTCTAAGCAGAGGAACATTTTTGGCAAAAACACGCCCCGAAACTTCCACGAATCGTGGGTCGAATGCGAAGATAACGAAACGTGAAAAACAAAAGTTGGGGCACAGATAAACGTCGTTTTAATTATGAAAAGCTACAAAAGTAATAAGCAGGCGACATGACTACCAAACGAAAACAATTAGCCGCACGATAACAGACGTAGATACAAGATGCCAGATACAAGATACAAAGCACAAGATACTTGCTAAAAGTCGAAAGCGTTTGGCGTTTAGCCTTAAATTTGTCGCCGCGTTTGAAATGCCAGACGCGGCGGCCGTCCAACAACTTGCCAGCGAATTGACAGACATATAAATTGCTCCACAGCCTGGCAGGCAGGCGGGCAGGCCGTGTATCTTGTATCTTGTAGCTACAGTTGCCGCGGCCACTGCAGCCGCCGCGTGCTTGCCGAACGTTTGTCATGCACTCGGTTTTCCTTTAGCGGCAGTTTGCAGCAGTTACAACAGCGTCTACCGCACATGTATCTGCAACAAGTTGCTAACGTCGACGTCGACGCCGACGCCGACGCCGATGCTGATGTTGGCGTCGAAGTTGCGAGACGAACGAACTCGGCTTCAAAGTGCTTCGAGACTTGAATGTGTGCAGTCGCACAGTGCGCTTTCGATACTCAGATACATACGATCGCAACTTTAAGATACATTTGCGCCGCGCGTGTATTGAAAACTATTGAATGGTGTTGTTGTTGTTGTGTGCGCCAAGCATTTGAGTGTTAATTAGCAACGACTGCTGTAAGCTCTTTTTAACAGTTGTATCTCACGGATGTCCAATCAGTGCCAAGCAAATGTCGCAAACATTTTATTTATTTATTTTGGGCAAACTTTAGCTCATGACTAAAAATAATAAACATGCGTGAGCGAACATATAGTATCTTGCAGATACAGAACATCATTCACACATTCAGCACAGCCGCCCGGCACACTTCGGCGATAAAGATGCTCATAATGATGCCGTTGTTATGATTGTGAGTCATCAGTTTGCCAGTTTGCCAGTTTGCCAGGCGACCGACTGAGCAGCTCGAAAGGTCTTGCTATTGCTTAGATCGCTGCCAGTCAATCGGTCGATCGGCTGAGTCAGTTCCTTGCCATTGCATAGATCTTTTTGTTGTTTTTGCTCGACTTCTGCGCCTTTGTTCGACAAGGTCAATAATTGCACGGGGATTGGGCATGGAAATGGGTTGCACAACCAAACAATGCATTAGTTGGCTCTGTGGGTGGGTGTGCGATAAAGCTTATCTGTAGACAAGCGAACCCGACAGTCTAAACTCTGATACAGATACATTCATAAATATATCAAAAATATATATATGCTATGTACTCAAATTAAATATGCAGGTTTATTTATCATCTATGATTTCTAGGCAAATAGAAACTTGTAGAATAATTAAATATTTTTTGTATCTTTTGGGTGTGCAACCCATAACAGCTATTTTATTAAATGGATTGTTATTTCCTGGCAAGGCTTGCATTGATTTGACATTTGTGTGTGATTCATTCGGACAGAGCCAGTGGGCTATGCAAAGTGTCTGGGGACAGTGCGAGTGTCTGACTATCGAGAATAATAAAAATTTATAAATAAATCAAGACAATGGCCACCTCCACGCTAACGGCTACAGCGTCTCCGAGTCCAGCTGCCATGAAGAATCCGCAGCTGAAGCGCGTCGTCTATTCCAAGTATCGGGAGCTCCTGGGCTCGTACAACGATAAGGCCAATGCCATCATTGAGACGCTGCCCGCCTATATGGTACGAGAGGATCACGGATTTCAGCTGGAGCTGCCGCTGCCCCATGCCAATGCGAATGCGAATGGGCATGACAAGAGCTCTGTGGATACGTAAGTAGGCGGTGCTATCAGCTGGTGCTGGCTGTGTAGAATATATCTAAGCAACAATTTATGACAGGAATGTGCGATAAGGATTTTTTCGGTGCGCAAAAAGTGAAACAATTTCTATGTAAATAAATACATATATTGTTGCTGACGCCAGATTAGCTCCCTGTGGAATGTGCAACTCACAACTCACATATAGGAAGCACCCTGTTGCGCTCTAGCTCTATTTATAGACATAGCCGGCAGAGGCTGGCCAGAACGGGCGGACAATGACTATCATTATGTCATGTTGCATGTGGCAGCTTTCAAGTTATGTGTGCTGTGGCTGCCCTTGATCTTGAAGTATGCACAAACTGGCCACGGCTAGATCCCACAGATCCAGTTTATTTTCGAGTTCGAGTCTCGTGTGCCTGTGTGCATTGTGAATTCTTCTACGCTCATTTGCATGCGAGCGAAGAGTGAAAATGTAAATTGTACAGATGTTTTTCTATATTTTCTTGCTTTTCTTTTGATTTTTTTTTTGCATGTTTGCATTTGGTTTTGTGCTGTTTTCACCCAACGGATGCCAGCTGCTAATGGCTGCTGCAGGCCAAATTATTTTTGGCATATTTCTCATCTCTATATATATAAAATACAGCTCTTATTTTTAGCCGCAAGTGCAAACTGCAAATGTCAAATAGCCCAATGATTCATATGCAAATGTTAAGTAGATTGTTTCAAATAATTAGTTGCCTAGTTCCTGACTGACTTTGCACTTTGCTGGCTGACACTTTAATTGCCGAATGTGTCAAAATCAGCTGATGCTTCCCTGAACTAGCGCAGACTTTGAGGTTGAGGCAACCGATGCCAGATTCCTACAAAAATTGACGTCACCAGACGGCGCTGTCGTCCGATCTTTGTTCTTAATTTTGAAACAAGTCTAGTGCGTGATCCAAAAAGTTTTTAAAAAATTGACTTGACTCGATTTGTTTTATACACGTGTGCGCCAAAAAAAAAAACAATAATAAAAATGACGTCAGCTCTAAGGAAGGACAGCTAAAGCTTTTTACTTGCAATACTTTAATACTTTTTAATTTTTTTTTAAATGAATAGCACGCTTCGTAAATACTTTAAGCAAGTTTTTTTATTTATTTTAAATACATTTGTATTCAACAAAGATTTACCGCTAAAAAAAATTAATTTAAAATATAGCTAGATTTAAAGGAAATCTTAAATTTCGACGACTTAATCGTTTGTTGTCGGCTTCTCTCCGCATAATTTACTTAATTTAGTTGCACTTAACGTCTTCGGTTCGCTAATTAAAACTGAGTGCTAAAGATGTTGTAGTCGGTTGTAGTTTTAACATTGGACCAGAAAGAAAAACATATGGCTAGCCAGTTTGGCCAAAAGAAAGTGATGGGCAGCTGGTCTCTTGGCCGGCAACCGCATCTCTCTCTCCGCCTCGTATTGGGGTTCTGAAAAGTTGTCAGGCATGTTGGTCTGTTAGCCTGTCAGCTTCATTAGTTTTTATGTGCAGATACATAAACACACACACACACACACACACATAGAGTACGCATGAACGGTGCGTGCTGAATGATTCGCTTTTAACAACTCAGCTAAGTGGGTCAGGCGAACAGGAACAGGTGATGCCAAGTGCTTGCAGTGAAAAAGTCATAGCAAAAGTGTTGCCAGCAATTTTCCAACCGCAAATGCGAAGGCGAACCGCAGACAGAATTGCAAAAGCCAAAACGTGAGCACCCACAACTCACAGAGTGCGGCAATCCCACAATCCGCTTTACATGCAAATTGGAGCGAGTGCATCAATGTCAGATGCAAATCCGAGCCCAAGTCGATGTCGTGACGTAACTGCCTGCGGTCGCTGACAAAGGCGGCACCAATCGAACCCATACAATGTGTATATAGAGAGTATATTGCAGATATGTCATCTGCGATATGCCACCTGGCCATATTAAATGGCTTGAGTTTATGGCCAGCTATGCACAGCAAGTGGGAGACTTGATCTTGCCATTGATTGTGGCTAGTTTAGTTATTAGCTAAAGTTTAACGCTCCATCATTTTTCCAGGCAAATCCAAAACTGTAAGGTCGTTCAGTTAGTTTGTTTTTCCCTCTCACGATTCACTGACGTCCATTGACACTGGCCAGACGTCTCGCACTTTTATGGCAAGTGAGGAAATTCAGTTTGTAACTAAACTGTTAACTGCTTTTTTTTTGTGCATTTTATTTGATTGTTAATAGTCGCTGACCATTTAAGGGGCGCAGTTATGAGCATTATTAAGGCCCGACAAGCCTAGAAATCTGCCAGATTTCAAATGCTGTAAATGCAATGCGCATTTCCTACAAATGTAATATATATTATATATACTATAATTATATATACGTAGCCAATTCAAATAAATCTATTTATTAATCGTTGCATAATTCTAATAAATTAATTTATTTTAACAATTTATTTAATACAGCTGTAATGAAACTAATGTAAACTTTTTATCACTATTTGTACAATAAGTTCAAATAATTAATGATGGTCAAAAGCGAGTTTCATTAATGAGAAAGCAAATTCCAATCAAAATAAAATTGGCTTATGTCATTAAAAATCGTAAACAAATATGTTTCTATCTTTGAAATCTGAATCGTTTTGTCGATTCCAATAGATTACATTAAAAAAATATAAAAATTATTAAATACACTTTTTATGCTACACAAAAGCGTGTCAATGTCCAAGCTCTCTCTTGAGATCGCTTGAGAAAGATGACCGTAAATAAATATGCATTTGTATTCTTTGTCACAACATAGCTTTATAATGTATTTTTAATCATTTTAGTTATTTCTTTTTCTTTTGAGTTCCATTCATCTTCACAAGCTCTTACTTTCAACATCTGACCGTTATGGCCCTTGGCATTGCACTTCAACTAATAAGGGGCTATAGACGCCAATGGCAGCTCTTCAGTACACTTTCCCCACAAAGAAACAAAATAAAAAAAAAAATTGCCATGAAAAAATTGGCTCATTGAACTGTCGATGAGCGAGTCATTAGTCATGCGGCGGAGGGGGGGCAAAGATCTTGAAGTGTGGTCAGACAAATGAGGGCTCTTGGCGTGAAGCGTCGAAATGAAACAGTTAATCACAAAAGATTATGCCAAAATTATAATATTTTAAATAGCAAGTAAAATGAGAACGCAGAGGCGTACAGAAAAACAAATCCAAACAAGAACCACAAAATTAACATGAAAATGAAACCGTTTAATGACCAAAAACAATCACAATATGCTAATGAATGTCTCTCGCTCTTCTATTTGTTGTCCGACAGCTATGGACAACGAGGCGGAGGCGCCGCTGGAGGCGGTGGCTTTGAGGCGCCCGCTTGTGTGCAAAACGCGATGATGACAAAAGACAAGAAGCCCTTCACCTATACGCCCGGCGGCATAGATCTCTCGCAAATCCGGTCGGAGCGCATGGCCAAGCGATTGGCGCGCAATGCTCAAGCCGAGGGCGCCACCGGGGCCTCCCAACAGAACAGACCCTCACCGCAGTCGCCGGGCGCCGGTGGCAGTGCCGCCAGTTCTATGGGCGCCGCAGCAATGGGCATGCCGTTTCAGGTGCTGCCGCCGCCGCCGCCGCCGCCGCCACCGCAGCCGCAATCGCAGTCACAGACGGGTAAGAACGGTAACCAAGCAGCAGCAGCACCCCCACCGCCACCCCCACAACAAAGTACATTAGCACCACCAGCGGGTCGAGGCAGTGCGCCCGGTTCGCCGGCAGCGGCACGCAAGTCCCCAACTCCGCAACGTTTCGAGCCGCCGCCGCTAGGATTCCGGCCGGAGATCAAAATACCGCCGAACCCGATGGCGGCGCTGCGCAAGGTGCCGCCGCCAGTGGAGAAGAACACATTCTGGAAAGATGAATACTGCAAGGAGCGCTCCAAGAGCCCCCTGCCCGATTCAACCCAGAACGGCAATGGCGACTACAGCAACAGCAACAACAACAGCAACAGCCAAGATGTCGTTGATGGTGAGCAGTGAGAGAGAGAGACTTTGGATATCGCATTTGGTTTTGGGCACTCTAATCTTACACTGTCAGTGGGCCAAAGTTCTCTTGGTACTTGGTTCTTGGCCCTCGGCTCGCCTCATGCTCTTCGCCGGCTAATTACTAAGCGGTTTCTGGTGCTTTAAAACGACATTTGACTAACCCCAGACATCAAAAGCGGCATTATCTATTGGCATTACCCCCCCACTAACGGCACTAAAACAGATTCACAATCCCCGCAATCCTTTACCATCCACTAATCTCAAATTATTCGTCTCCGCAGCGTACAAACCAACTGGCAACAACAGCTACAACAACAGCAACGGCAACAACAGCTACAGCCCATACGCACCATCAAATCAGCAGCAGCAGCAGCAGCAGCCACAATCGCCCTCACCCAAAACACCGCCGCTGCAGCAACAGCTGCAACAGCCAACGCCACCGGCAACACCCCCACAACAACAACAACAGCAGCCGCGTCAGGAGTTCCGCAGCGTGGCCATGCCACAGTCGCCGGCTGTTAATGTCTATACGCGTCAAACGGACAGTCCGCGCTCGCCTTTCGAGCTGCAGCAGCAGCAGCAGCGGGCCACAGAGAGTCCCTTCCGCTTTGCACAACAGCAACAGCAACCACAGCAGCAGCAACAGTCGCGTCCGACCACGGCAATTTCTCCGCTGGTGCAACAACAGCAGACACATCCATCGCCAGCTATTTCTCCACTGGCTCAGCCACAACAGCAGCAGCAGCAACAACAGCAGACCGTTCCCTGGCGTACACAACGCCCCCAGCCCGCTGCACAACAGCAACAACAACAACCACAGCAGCAGCAGCAGCCCATTTACAACAATGTGCAACAGCAGCAACAACAACAACAGCAGCAACAACGATCTCGCGATGTCTTCAGTCCCGCCCGAACTGAGCAACAGCAACAACAACAATCGCCACATCAAGGAGCTAAGCCGGTAACTACCTGATATTTCGACCTTTACTCACATATTAGCATGTTGCCCAATTATTATTTCGTGGCGAACTTGAGGCGTATGAATAATATTTTTACAGCATCAATTCAGTTTGATTCAGTTTAATATTTTTAACTGCAAATTCACATATGTAATAACAAAAAACAAGAAAACCTTTAAGCTTCTTACTCACATATTAGTATTTTGCCCAATTATTATTTCGTGGCGTATGAGTAATATTTTTACAGCATCAATTCAGTATAATTCAGTTTAATAATTTTAACTGCAAATTCACATCTGTAATAACATAAAACAAGAAAAGGCGGATACATACCGAAACTTAAATGCCCTATCGATTTCTCCCCCTGTTATATAGTGGCATTTTCTATTAAAATTGTGTTGAAAAATTTCAAGATTAGGTGAAAAAGTAAATGCCAAATAAGTTGAAGATATTTTGAAGAAAAAAAGCGAAATCATTTGTGTCAGAGCGATATGTTAAAATTGCATCCTCAAATATCCTATAAAGACATAGTTCAAAATTTCCCTCCCAAAACTCGGTCAAAACTCTTCCGGTTTTCACGAGGTTTGGTTCTTTGTTCATGGTTCGACTTCTAGATCAATTTGGCATCTAAATCTGGCAACGTTATTCTTGATCAGAATTCATGTGAAAATCGTATTCTCAAATATCCTATAAAGACAAAGTTCAAAATTTTCCACCCGCATAACTCGGTCAAAACTCAATCGATTTTCATAGGGGTTGGGTCTTTGTTCATGGTTTGACCTCTAGATCAATTTGGCATCTAAATCTGGCAACATTATTTAACAAGAATATATAAACTTAATTGGATAGACTACGTCTCCTTCATGATCAAATTGTAATAAACGTAAAAGCAAAAATTATTGCCAAATTATGGTTGACGGCCAAGATTTTGTGTATCTCAAAACTGTTATTCATTCTAGAGTATTCGCGGAAGCAATAGGTTTTATTTTTAAATCATTTTGGTGAGCTACAACAAAAGATTCACATTGAACGCATTCCGTGTTTGCAGCCGCTAAAATTAGATATTACCAAAGGCCAAACACGAATTTTGAACTTGAGGCAATTGGCAAATGGCTGCGCATATTCCGACATCGGGGCATATGTACTGCTGTAAGCAACTGGGCCTCAAATCAAATAGTATTAAAAAGAAATTGTCGAGCTTTTTAAAAATATTGCTAGCTCATTGAGATGCAATGGTTTTCAAGTGTTTTTATGGCGAGGATTTAAGTCCGGATCCTCATTGCCCTAATAACTTGTTCGCTACTCTACTGTTTTTTTTTTTACTGTGAATATCTAGACTCATTTTTTTATATTTTTTATAAATAAAAGTATAAACACATTAAATAAGATTTATATAGAATTAAGAATGAAGTAGAACTAAGGTCAAGCTATCAGAATAGAGACTCTCTAAAAACATTTATAATTGCCAAACTGTCGCTTAGGAAGCTAAAAGTTCATTGTCAATGCATTTTAATTCGGTGGGTTGCCAAAATATATATATTTCTACTCGCTAACCATTTGCAACTGCTAAACGCAATAATTTGAGACTTCCACCCGTTTTCCGCCTTATCCGGCTAATGTATATATCGGTTAAATGACTAGGTTCAGTGATAGCTGACAGAGCTGCACATGCGAGTATTTTTATGTTTATTTTTAAAACTAATTTTTATTTTTATGTTTATTGTAAAAGCTTTGAAACGCCTTTTGCCTTCTTGACTTGAACTACATTTCCCCTTTTTCTACGCAGACCAACGTTGGCTCACTTTACATAGCTCCACTCGCGCAGCCCACGGAGCCGCAAGCACAGCGCCTCTTGCTACAGCAGCAGCAGCAGCTGTCGGGAGCTCGTGACTCGCCCATGCGTCAAGTGCCACAACAGCAGCAGCAGGCACAGCAACAGGTGGGCGGCCAGCCACTGCGCTGGCTCAGCTCACAGCCCGCGGCAAAGGAGCAGGCGCCCTGGGCACGCTCCGGGGAGAATGGCAACGTGGTGCCCTCCACTCTGCGACAGGCGGCAGCGCCGTCGGCAGCTACGCAAGCACAGCCTGCAACGCTCTATCAGCCTCAGATGGGGCAGAGCAATGGCCATGGAGCAGCTTCCTCTCCCGGCCCGGCTGCACAGCAGAACTTTGGCTCAACAGCTCAGCCCAGTGGACTACGCTTGCAGATCAACGCCAATGCCAACGGCAACAATGTAAACCAGAGTGGACCCAAGGTATAATTAAAAATAACAGGGTATTCAATGGGTGTACAGTTACTAATTTAACCATTTCCAGGAGCGCATAATACCCATTACACTGGAACAAACACCAACTTATGCCGCTGCGCAGCCCAACTTCGGTGGTAAGTTCTGTTATTTAACTGTTGCTTGCTTTTGTTCGTGTTTCTGTGTTTTATGTTTAAGACTCTATATGGCGCCCTCCCAAACCTTAATGTTTGTCACTAATCAAGCCCCTATATAGTTTATCCATATACCCCGAATGCGAACCCATACACTCTCCACTATCCCGCAACTGTTCCCGTTTGTCCACTGTGTAACTTTCCATCTCGATATCAATATGTGTCTATGTATACTCTTTCTTTCCTACGAAAGCGCCTGCTGGCCACATAATACGCTCAGCTAATCAATTTGTCGATCAAGGTTACAACAATTATCCAGCTTCAGGAGCGTCTGCGCAGGTGCAACGCGTCATATCACCCACCCACCAGCAGCAGCATCTGCAGCAGCAGCAGCATCAGCATCAGCAACAACAATTTGTTAGTTCTAATAACATCAGCAATAATTCGACTCGCATTATACCCATTGCGATTGAGGGGGGACGAGGAGGTCCGGTCTCCCAGTCACCAGTCGTGCTACAAAAGTAAGTACAGTTGAGTATTTGAACCAAATGCTATATTACAATACTTTTTGTGCTTTACCAACACTAAAAACCTAAACAACTAAGTAGTTTGCAACACTACCCAGCACTAATGCGTATAAACTTTGTGCTTCTTTACAAAACCTAACGACTTACGACTTTTAGTGGCAATTACAATTTGTATGTGCATCAATGTCCGCTCGAGGCTGAGATACGCTACAGAAAGAATCGACTCAGGTAGTACAGTCGCCGTCGCCGTCGCAGCCCGATAACAAATGCTTTCAAGTCAAAACTGTATCTTTCAGTGTTGTAAAGTGGAACTTGGAGCAGTCGGCAACTCGCAACTCTGCTCCAGGTCCTGTTGATTCTGTTTTTTTTTTTTTGAATGTTCAGTGTGTATTTTACATGCATAAGTCAATCCATTTGTAATTTGCAAGGCATTCCCTTGTCATGAGCTCATTATTCAATACCTGGGCACAAATTACAATACAATCTCTTTCATATGTAATGCAAAATTTCGGTGTCAGCAGCAAAGTAAACCACTCACAAATACTAGTTAACCCCACCACACGTTTCCCTCACAAGCGAAATTTGCAATTTGGTAATTTCCGACATAATTTCGAGTGCATGCTAACCAACAACCTAACCTAACATACGCCTATATATATCTACTTGCAGCGATCCACGCTCACCGCCCATACAATCGAAATCGTTTAGAATATTGCAAAAGATAACCGACACAGTGGACGATGTCAGCAGCGATCCCAGGCAAGAGGCGCCCCACCAGCAGCCTCATTTGGAGGTGGAGCTGCCGCAACTGCAGCGGCCGCAGTTCGCTCGCCAGATGAGCGCTCAGCAGGCGCGGAATAGTCCGACCATTGAGCAAATGCGGCGGCTGCAAATCGCCCAGGATCAGCAGTCGGGTACGCCAACAGCCTGGTGCCCGCAAGGTGAGCTCTCAATGGTGGCCCTGTCCCTTCTCTGTAGCCAACTGGACTGGTAAGGTTTCATTAGCCGGAGAGTGTCGCAAGGTTTCAATTCGGTCCCCTTAGTTCTGGTCTCTTATGCCGGGTTCTGGGTTTGGTCCTCTACTAACACAACGCTTTAAGCCACAACCAACCATTTGGAACAAAAAACGACTAATGCGCTTCTTGTGTGTGTCCACCATGAATATGGTATCGCCTTAGTATTCGGGTCAAAATTGCCAGCACTACTATGCAAAATAAATAAATAAATTAAATAGCAGATAAAACCCACTAAAATTAACACTCGATCACTAAGAAATCGCTTCTCCTTGCAGGTAACGGCGCGTCTGCTCAGAACCGCTTCACACCTCAGCGTTCTGCATACGGTAAACCCAATATTTTTGTTGAAGATTACGTGCTTTAAGCCATTGCCATTTTAACAGATTCGGGCCAACAGCAATACGTGCCACCTAGCGAGCAGCAGGCGCCGGAACCGAAGAAGTACACCGGCAGCGCAATACCGAGTCGATCATTTAAAATTTTACAGGCAATGACAACACCAGAGAATGCCGGTAAGTGCACTTTGTCTACGATATATAAATACACTGCAAGAAATTGGTTTTTATTTCTCTTATTTATCACACACACGAAAGATCAACGGAAGCAACTTGTATATATAGCCCATTAGCCCATCCAACTAACGAATCAGACAATTATACGCAAAACTCATACTCACCTTTGCCACACCTGTGTATATATACATTTATACGTACATCTACATCATGCATTATGTTACTTTTCACCGAGTTCTTGTTGAGAGACTTCATCTGTCTTGGATTTCATTTTGATTTGTATATGTTTTACATTTATTAAGCTTAAAGCATGTTGAGCTCCAGTTTGGATCAGCTTAAAGGTTTTGTACACTTGATATACAAATACACAAAAGTTCGTATCCTTTGGTGTCAAACATATATATCTCACATATGTACACGTCATCATGCCCTTACAGCCACACATATCCGTATACTATTTCAACTTGTATATAGTAGCTATGCTCGATCGTTTAATCTACCATATATAACATTCACAGTCCAAATTGTTGGTGTATTGATCATAATATGCACTCTCACCGTGTCTATATCTTTTCTTCTTTCTTTTTATTTATTTTTGATAACCGTGCACCAAACCGACCTCAGAACATAAAATTCACACCGAGCTGGACTCGGATTTGGAAAATATTGAATTGAACGAAGCCAAAAATAATAATAATAATAATAATAATAATAATACTCATAATAATATTAATCATAATAATGGGAATAATGATAATATCAGAATGAGTAACCATAACCGAGAAATTAACAGTAAAATCAATAAACGTCATAGTTATCAGTCATCAGCCACGCCCACTCCACCGCCCATTACAGACACGAATACAAGCACTTCTCACGGCATATACTCATCTTCATCTTCTCTTAGTTCAGACAGCTCCTGTGCCCCACAGATGCACACAGAGCGCTCGCAATCGGTGCCCCCGCACTATCCCTATGCTTATGGTTACCCCTTCCCCTGGTACATGCCGCCACCCACTCATTCCGTTCCTGGGCAGAACAGTGGCGAGCCGCCTCAAGTCGTAAATTGGCCCTATCCTTACCCTTACCCGCCACCCATGCCTCTCACGGTGGACGGCAAGCAGCCGGAAGCCCATCCACCCTATCCATATTACTACCCCTATTATCTACCCCCTCCACCGGCCTATGGGCAGCCAGCCACGTCCAACGAAACTCTGCAGCACGGCTACCACCCTCAGTTTGTGCCAGCCTATGGTCCTTATCCGTATCCGGTAGCACCGAGCCTTAGCCAAAGCTCTGCGGAAAGTCGCGCCAGCAGCGTATTGCCCGATATTATTATAACGCCCAGCACCGACGATATGCCCTCGAAGGTCATAATGCAGCACCACATCAAGGTGGAGCCACGTGAGCCGCCCAAGCGTGCGCACTCTGTTGAAATTGAGGAATTGGTTAGTCGGTCGAAGACGCGCAATATCTGCAGCAACAAGGAGGAGGTAATTGATATGCTCAGCCAGCGTCTGGCCAACATAAACAAAATCGCCGGGGGCAATACCCAAGCCAATTTATCGAATCAGCTCCAAAAGAGCTATGCCGGTGAGCATCTGAAGGAGCTGGGAGCACGCTCACCCAGCGAGAATGCCTCCCCAGTGCTGATCACTGCCATGCTAGACGATAATGATGATAGTGACTCTGAGGAGAGCAGCGACGAGGATGAAGAGGACACAGATACACCCAAGCATGCAGGTCGCAACTCGCCATCTCCGCTGCAGGCCATCAAGTCGGTGACCAATGTGCAGATCTACAAAGGTTTGGGCAAAATGCCAGTGGAAACTCTGCAGTCCGAGAGTGAGGACGATGATGTGACGACAGCTGACGAAATGCTCGATGAGGAAGAGCAGGAGTGCCTGATCGAGGAACTGGACGATGACTATGTTGTTGAGGAGGATCTAAGCACCATTTATGAGGAGGAGAGCGAGCTGGAACGCAGCAGCAACTACGCCAAGACGGTTATTAACCAAAATGGATCCAGTGCCAGCAACGCTACCATAGGGGCTCGCCAAGTAGAAGAAGAAGACGACCTGGAAGAGCAAATAGAGGACAATGATCGGGATGACGATGACGAGGACGACGAGTCCAATTCGGTGACTGTGCGTCTGCCGTTGCGCTTCTCCTTTAGTCGCAGCTCGAATGACGAGAACATAGCCACCGTGGAGGTGGGCAGCAGCACACAGATTGAGGAAAGACGCCAGAGTATTAGCTTGGACGGCAAACGGAATTCATTCAGCGTAGCCAAGATAGAGAGTGACAATGAGGAGGATAACGATTGTGAGGTCAGCGTTACCATCAGCTTGTCAAACTCCTCCCGTTCCAATTCCGTAGAGAAGTCCTCGATGCTCCCAAGTGCCATTAAGGCTAGCAGTGAAGATGTGTCCACCTCCATCTCGCTGGGCATGCGCAACAAGTTCTTGGCGGACACCCAACACGGCGAAATAACAAATAATATTGCGATATTGAAACCGACAAAAGAAGTTGAGGTCACCTCGGAAGCACCCAAAGAGGAATTTGATTTCTTTGCCACGCTTTTGGCTACCAAAATGCAGGCACAGAAAATGATGGAACAGTCCAAGAGCTATTGGAAAACGACAGAGGCCAAGCCAGAAGAACAGCCCAAGGAGCCTGCGCCAAGTGAAACTGTGAAGCTGCGAGTTAAGCCAAACGAGGAACAGGCCAAAAGGCCAAGACCAAAATCGTGTGACATATCCAAGACTCGGGACTCTTTGGAGGCGGCCAAGAACAGCTTTTGGTCCACATTTGCAACGGCAGCCAAAGAACCTGAACCTCAATTGGAGGAACAAACTGACTTCTGGGCAAGCGTCGAAAACAGCAAAGAGCAAAGTCAATGTACAAAAAAACAGAAAACGGTTACGTATATCCCACTGCAAAAGGAGACGGTGGCCGAAGTGGAACATTGGACGACTACCCTAAAAGCCCAAGTGAAATACATGCCCCAATCGCAGTGTGCTGAAGTTCATTTCGAGGTAGAAGAAAATCCAGAAGTTGAAGACGAGGTGGACTTTTGGGCTTCAGTAGAGAAAGCCAAAACCGAGCAGACTGAAAAGCAGCCCGAGCTGGAGTTTTGGTCAGATCAGTCAGCGGACACTCGTGATGAAAGCCCGAATATAAATATAACAGAGCCGATTGTTGAGGAAGAGGACGTCGATTTCTGGGCCGACATAAAATCTTCTGAAGGTAGCTATGACAACAGGCAAAACGACTTTCAGTTCGATCCAACCAAATATCCGGAGGAACCACGCGAGGTTGATACCGATGAAGAAATTGATTTTTGGACAGAAATCGAAGCGAATCGCAAGCCGGATGACGACGATGTGACTTTCCACAAATCCGCCACCTTTTGGGCTCGCAAAGAGCGCCAAAACTCAGTAGAAGAAACGCCCTACAAGCCCGTGGAGACCAAAGCATTTCGGGCCAAGCTGCCCGACGAGCCAGCTGTGGAAATAGATGTGTGGGCCACTTTGGAGGGAGCTCGCGGCGAAGAGCCAGAGATTGTTGATCCAGTTTTAGAGGAGGAGCAAATGCTAGCTGAGCAATACGAAGAGATTGAGCATGAAGAAGACGAGAAGTCCCAAAATCTGACGCAATCAACGCCTCAGACTCCGGAGACCGATCTCGACGCAGTTGAGACTATGTCGCTGGCCTCCATGCATGAGCCAGCAACTGTGCATACCTGGACGCCTTCCACACATACAAACGTGGACCTGGAGGACGGCGATGAGCCTGATTTTTGGGCTGATATAGAACAGGAGCGTGGCAAGACAGACCAGGTAGAGGAAGCCGAGCAGAAACGTCAGAACTATCGCCAGGCCATGGCGTTCTTCAGTACCTCCATCGATGAGCACAAGGTACAGCAAAAAGTGCAACACAATCGGAGCAGCGTCATCCTCGAATCAGCGGAGCCAACGGATTTGGATCTGGGCTCACCAGGTGAATATGAAATTGTGGGCGAAGATGGCGTCGTTGTGGAACAACATGGATTGCAAACGGTCAGTGCAGAAGACGAGGATCGAGAAGCGACGACACCGACCAACCAGCTACCAGAAGTTTACGTGGAACCAGAACCGGAGCAGCAAAGAAAGCTCCTAGCTAACGGTCTGCCCGATCTCGGTGTGTCGGAAGCACCCAAAATTTCGGTGCGCGAGCGCATTAATGTATTTGAGACGACTCCAGCAACAACGGGCGACGCAACCCCTCTAAACAAGGCTATGACTATTCATTCGTTGTCCGTAGACAGCGGCCGTGGCAAGGGACAGCTGTCGCGCAATAGCAGCACACAGCGGTCCGAGTCAGAAATCGAGGAGGATGACTCAGGCGTGACAGATATGAATCGGCAGATGTCAGAGACGGACACCGAGTCCGAAAGTTTTCCGGAGCTGCGCAAGATGACGAGCTACCAGCGCGCCGCCACACATTCCAGACTCTTTAAACTCCTGCAGGACGAGAACGATCTGCCCGAAGCGGCAGAAGCTGGGCAGGCGGACGAGTTCCAGCTAAAGCCCAGCAGACGCAAGATTGTGCACAATGTATCCATTACACGTCGCCAAAATCCTAAAGCCCTCAGCGAGGCGGAGACGATGACACAACGACGCGAACGTCTCTCGCTGCCGCTGCGCAAGAACACCAGCATCGATGCGGACAATCCCTCAACGCCGAACAGTCCCGCCTCGCCCATCGTTGGGCCATCCCCCAGCAAGCAGCGTGTGGTCAGCGATAAGCTGGTTAACGAGCTGGTACAGAGCCTCCTGCTGAAGAGCGACAGCACGCATCTGCGTAACCTGCCGATGGAACGGCTCCAGGCCGCGGCCAAGCGCGCCCTGGTCGAGGAAATGGATTCCGTGGACACTAGTTCGCTGGACAGCACGCCTGCGCCTACGCCCAAACAGGATAAGGAATACGCTGACTATTATAGCAGCTGGACCGAGGCCAGCGGCGGTGAAGAGATTGTGCCCTCGAAGGCCTTTCGAGCGCTACAGGATCCGCGACGCAGTCCCTGGACGGTGCGCTGTCCCCGCGTCCTCAGTTCCAAGACAATCAATCGCGACCTGGCCCGTGTCACAGAGTCACCCGAAATTCTGACCAATCGCAGCAGCAAAAGTCCCGAATGCTTTAGGCAACAGTCCGGGAACAGGGAACACTCCGTTGGCAGCTGGCGCAAGGTCTGAGCTAGCCTCATTGTGTATAACTAGGGGCGGGGGGAATCTCACGTACACACCTTGATATTTGCATTTGGGTCAAGCAACTCTGAGCGGGGGGTGGGAGGGGGGTCAGAGAGCCAGAGAGCCAGTTCTTGCATTTCTCATCCAATCACAGCACATCACATTGTACAATATGAAAACACTCAGACTAATAATAAAAACTAAATATCTAATGTATAATGTATAATGTATATAAACAGAGTTAAACCAAAGAAAATCGTTCATTCGTTCGTTCGCTCGTTCGTTTGTTATCTCAATAAAAGCGCAAAGTCCTCGCACAGTCATTTCTAAATTCGACTACATACTTATATACATACTTTTGTATTTTTAAATCGATTCAAAAAATAACTACAAAACCAAAAAAAAATTAGAACAAAACAAACAAAAGCAACTCAAAATCTATCAAATCGCCACAATATAAAAACGAAAAACCAAAACAAAACAATTTCATCAACTCAATGATTTTGTAAAACTCGTTCAAAATCCTAAGGTACCTAAATTAAATTAAAATTTATATCCAACCCAAATTTGAACTAATTGTTTTTAAATGTTTTCATTATATATTTCAAATTTGACCACTATCTATTCTATGTATTTCTTTTATTTTTGCCGCTATTTGATTTTTAATTATATGTGCCGTATATTTCCTAATTATTAATTTGTTGCGACAAATATTTGCGATAGACACATTTTTTGGAAATAGTTTTTTGTAACACGAATCTAAGTAAAATTTCCCGAAATTAACCAGGTTTGTATCTAAATAATGTTACACAATTAACCCCCAAGTGTTCGGTAGCTGCCCAAATACATTAACCCAACTTAGATGTTACGTAGTACATTCCTAATTCCAACTTGGCTAAGTTAAAAAGAAAATAAATAAATAAATCAAATACACAATGAGACAAAGTTATATCGCAAATATTTCAAGTAATTAATATATCCAAAGCTTTTTACAAAAATTTCGAAATCTTAAAAACGGATTTTGGAGAGAAAACTCCACCTTGAACAAAATGGTGAAGAACGAATGAAGATTTTTTTTTGTGCATTAGTGAATTAAATGAAACCATTAAAAAAACATCAACGGAAGAAAATTGTACAATATAAAAAGTCGTTCGTAACATTAACCATTCATGAGTTACAATACATAATTGAATGTTTCTTTTCTTATATACTTGATTAACTTGTTTTTATACACACAATAAAAATATATATTCTTAACAAAAATTAATCATTTATTTTGATGACAATGAATATGGATGGCTTTTTCCCTAAAAAAAATTATAAGAAAATTGACAAATGAAAAAACATATGTATATCAAAACAATTAAGGTGAAGTTTCCTCTCAAAGTTCTTTGGCTGCTTTGCACTGCTGCAAGTTACAATTTTTATTTGCCGCTTCATTTGTATTTGTTATGTTTTACCTATGTCCGGGTCTTCGGATTTGGATATCTTTAAAGTTTAACAAACTAAGCAAAAAGTCGAAGACAAACAACTTTCCACAACTTATTGTTAGCTTTATTCGTAAATGTTATGATGAGTTCGACATTCATTTAATTATTCCTTTGTTTACTTTATTTCAGGCCCTGGACAATCGGATCTATAATTATTTCTCAAAGCCATAGAAATCAATTATAGCCTGACAACAGACTTTGTCCTTAGTTTAAGTACCAGCACACTTAGGATCAACACAGTCAGATACCTTGGGAACGGGCCATGCAGTAATAGTTTTTTAGTGAAATTTCATACAACTAACGTAGCATAGTAGTTGAGACGGAAATGTATTTCTTTAATTGTTAATCGCGATTTGGTAGCAGCACTAAAACCTCTAACAAAACTTACGAACACCACTAGCGAAGCGAATCATTACTAACCCTGACTCTTTAAGATGTAAAATGTTTACACGAGAGAGAATTAACCCTTTGACGCAATGAGGTAACAACGAAACGAAAACAACGCAATGACAGCAAATCGACCAATCAAACATAATATTTATCCGGATAATGCGAGAGTGCATCTTAAAAACGATTAAAAATTAAATAAATAACTTTGGTTTAAGAAATCTTTGTGTGTTGTCTTCATCAAGCGACATTTGATTTAGAACACCTTTTCATTTTCTAACAAGATAGTTTTTGTTTGTCATAGTTTTTTATACAAAACATATACATACATATTGTATTCGTATGCATACGAATGTGTTGTAAAATTTATATGACTACTTTTATTATTTCATACTCATATATTTTGTGTTGTATAATTTTTTATGCAGTGAAATTTTTTAGTAAATAAAGAAATATCTTAAAACAATGTTTTTAAATCTTTGATTTGAGAATGGAATAAAAAACAGTCAGTGAAAACAAATTGCAACAATAAATGTAAAATACATTAAAATCTTTTAATTGTTTCTTTAGAGGTACAGAGAAGCCGAGCGTAGCAAAATCGTTGTAAGTTATATTCATATTGCACTTAAATAATGGCATATACATTTTCATTTTAGATTTAGGTAGAATCAATCACCCTTATCCTTGTATATTATGAACCGGTTAACTAAGTATATAGTATATATTTGAGTATACAGTATCTTAAAATAGACATGTTGAACAAAGCAACGGGCAAAATACCTGCTCAAAACTCATCTACGCGCACTACAGTTAACAACATTTAAAGCTAATCTATATATGTATATTGTATAAATGGTATGCAGATCAACTTTTACCATATATTAAATGCATAAATATGTCAAACATTATAAATACTTTCAACACTAAACTTTGATAGTTAACTTTGAGATACTTTAGATTTGTACAATTAGGCTTTAAGTTAACTTGTTTGAGACCTGTTTAAATCATATGTATATACACAGTTCTTAACTTGGCATACAATTAAAGCAGCTCGCATACACGTATATAAGATACAAGTATATAGTTTTTGTGTATAATATTGCTTTAGTAGTTAACAGTTTAACAGCTTTTTCCTAGGAAGTTGTGTCTGATTTTTGCAAATCCATGAGCTCTTGCACAATGCGATACTCGTGACAGTCGCCGCATAGGAGTCGGCCATTAGAACGATTTGAGCGCTGCACTTTTTCATGGCATACAATATGGACTAATTTCAGATTCTTGAGCGAGAAAATTTCCAGAAAGTATTCCAGTACAGAGATGTCCACTATGCGTTTGTTGTGCAGCGCGCACTTTCTTTGAGGTTGTGATACTAGCTCTTTAACATTGGCCACCAAGGCGGGCAAAATAGAGCGTGACAGTTCGATTTGATGATCAAGGTTCCACACTTGAAACAATATAAGATTCTCGCGAGAGGCATACGGGTTTATGGTGTGCTGCAACGAGCAGTTATTGCCATTGTCCGAGTAGGCGCCCTGGCAATAGAAGTCGCCCAGATCCGTGCATAACGAAACGGACCATTCGTCGAGTATAGCGTGTCGCGACGTATAGTCTTTAATGATTTGCCGTAGCCGTTTATTGGGCACGTTAGCCGCATCCGGCTGCTCTTCGCCCACCTGTTGCTGCAACATCTCATGCTTAAGCTGGCACTTACGATTGAATATCATGGAGAAGTAATCGCAGCCTATGAGGAGATAACGGAACTGGTCTAGCACCGAATTGATCACCTGCCGCGCCTTGGCATTCTGTCTGTACAACTGATTGCGTGTTAGCTCCTCCTTGGTCTTATAGTAATAGCCGCGCACTCGTGTCTGAGCTCTCATGGCCATGGCCTCTTCCTTGGATTGAAAGCGCTCCTCGCTGCCCTCAAACCATTCGATGTGCTCGGCCTTCAAGCTAAGATGTGCTTTGGTATTGTCTAAAGCCCGGCGCTGCTTCTGTTCTTCATATTCCGTAATCATGCGCCGAAACTTGTCCGGATGCTGCTCAATAAACTCATAGAAAATGTCTGCAACTTTCAGCAGCGGTGACTGTTGACGCATTTTTTCAAATTCGAAGTCTGCATCTATTAAAAAAAATAAAGTTCTTATTAATAAGATATTATACCCAAACCTAACTATCTTTCAAGCACAATAACATAAAAAAAGTGATGACGGAGACAAAAAAAACGATAAGACGTTTTTCTACATAATTTGCCTTAAGCTTGTCAAGCTTTCTTACCTGTTGTGATGACTGCATCGGGTCCAGCTACGATAAAAAGCGTTTGGGCAGGCAAACTTTTGAAGTATTCATCATCAGAGACTTCAAAGCCGTCAATGGCCAGATAAATGTGCAACTCCTGCAGCTGTAGAAATACACCAAGGAAAAAGCATTGGGAGCATGAGTAAGGTGCCCTTGACTTCCATTAAAATGGGCCCTGACCTAAGTGCACATTGAGCCCGTTTAAATGATTTGTGATAGCAACAGGTGGTCTACTACCTAAATGTTTGCTATTTTGAAGCATGCGCATTGCATGTATGAGTATTGCTGACATTGAAGCGTGCAGAGCGCCAAACAAAGCGGAAGCCAGCTAGGAAACATTGGCCTTGAATGTCCAGGGACATGGACATGTGCAGGGCCACTCGTGGGCGGGTGTACGTCGAGGCGGATTTTGTTTGGAAACGCAATTTGCTTCAAATTTTAAACAGACTTACCGGAAACTTAAGCTGTGCTTTCTCCAGTAGCATTTCCAATGAATTGACACCTATGCCGTATTTTCGCGTGCGTTCATTATCAGTTATTTTGTAACCTTGCATCTTGGCTGTAGCGCGTTGTTGTTTATCTGGATCCTTGTCCAATCCTTGGACATTTGAGTTTTGGATGACATTGCTACTACTGCTGCGTGTGGACGGTGCCATTATTGTCTCCTTAATAAAGTTAAGCATCTAAAAGTAGTCAACTGGTAAGTTTAACTTTGTAACATTCTTAAATGCTCGTAAAAAAATATTTTGTTTGGAAAAACCTTGCAACAAGCTGCCTTTTACGCGCACCAATACAAACTACTTGTCTAGCGTTGCCAGTGCTCTTCGTTTATACCAGCAACAGTGCTGTTCATTTCTACATACAGTTTGGCTTGATGAAAAGTAGCTAAATTTGTTGCATTTTCGTGAAACTTTTTGCTTTCAATTCATATTCCATATATATAACTTGGTCGATTTTTTAATCTTTAGTTTTTGTTAAACGGTTTGATATTTAAATTATTTTAACAGATGTTATTATTTTTTAATACAATAACACAGCACTGATAAGCCAAAACAGAGACGATGCTGCCAGCTTGTTGTAAATTGATTGAATACGGCCACACTGTTTGCCGTTGTTCAGCCAAAATCAGCTGTTTTAGCCAAAGTGTTGTTAAAAGTAAATTTTTGCAGTAAATTTAAACAATCGTGTAGTGTAGGCTTACTATGTGCACCGCTTGTACCGCAGCATAACGCCCAACGGAAGCCGCAATGCATTTGCGCCCGCGCTGTCGCGAATGGCTGCCGTTGGCAACGCAGCAGTTGCGACTCCGCAACCTGGCGCGCATACAAGGACTCAACATTCAGTACACCTTGGACGCCAGCGCCGGCGAGGAGTTTGGCTTGGAGGAGCAGGAGCTGCTTGTCTACTATACACTTCATGCAGATAAGGCTAGTGAAGCGTTCTACACCAGCGAGGCGTTGCCGCAGCGTCACCAGCAGCAAAAGTGGGCGGAGATATGTGCGGGCGATGACGTCTGGCGTAAGTCCAATGCACAGTGTGTGTGTGTCAAAGTCTGGGCACAGTATCAGCCAACTGCCCAGCAGGCAGACGGGCCAAACGAGACTGAACAAGAAACGGAGCAGCAGCAAAGGTGCGATTTGTTCATCATTTGTTGTGAATGAATCTAATTAGATCGAATATCACGGAAGCAATGCTTATGATGAACTTTGTTTATTGATTGTGTATATTTGCTTTCAGTGAGCTGCAGGGTCAGCGCTCAACGAATGTGCAGTTAACGCCTCACACGCTGCCACGCCCACCGGAGCTATTGTTCAGTTGGGGCGTATACTTTTCCGGCCTCATACCCCTCGCGCCGCTGGCGATTGCCAATTGCCAAGCCAACTGTCTGATTTTCCATTTAAATGGCGAGCACTTTACCTCACCGGCGCTGATAAGTGAGGAGGGTTTGCACGCCCAGCTGCATCTACAATACCGGCGCTGTGCCGAGTATGACAATAATGAACGGAATGCGGCCATCGAAAGCGGCGCAGCCGGCATTAATTCACCGCCTGTGAGTCGCAGTAGCAGCCCCGTGCTACAGATGAGTACCATGCGCTACGCCCAGCTGGGATGTCGACTGGTGAATCTGCGACGAAGTTACAATTTGGAGAGTCTCCTGCTGCTGCAGCGGCGTCAGCGAGATCAGCGCAAGAAATTGCGCGACGTGGAGGAAGTGAGCAGGGAAATCGCACGTCTCAGCGTGCATTGTATTACTCGAAATGAGCTGAGGTTAAAGCCGCGCACTACTTCACTCTCCGGCTCGCCCTATGGCAGTCAGCATTCTCAGCATTATCATTCCATGGGCCGCACGCTTAGCGTGCTGCTGGCAGAGCAACAAGAGATTGCGCCCTTGACCCTCTACAGTGCCCAGCAGCTGATGCAGCAGATTGAGGCATTGCGCTGCAAGCAGCGTTTGCTCCAGACCGAACTCGCAACCTTTAAAGAACGCAATGCGCGACAGCAGGAGCGTTTACAATTTCTGCGGGAACAGCGCGAGGATGCGCAGTATAAGCTGCACAACCAACAGCTTCAGCTAGAGCAACACCGTCTGGAGTTCCGCACACAGGCGCCACAACAGCTTATAGAGCGTGAACAGAAACGTCAAGTTGTACTTCAGGTAAGCTGTGTCTTGAATCATCAACCTTATAAATCCGAACACGAACATCTGCCTTTATGCAATAGGTGGAGCGCCGCATGTCAACATTGGTGCTGGAATTGCAGGAAATTTATAATATCAAGAGTCTAAGAGAGCAACAGTTTAGCATTTGTGGCATTGCTTTTCCCCACATGGAGCATTATGCGAGCGAATCGCGACAGGCGACCAATGCGCAGCTTCTGGAGAACGTCTCGCCGCTGGCGGTGAGTGCAGCGCTCGGCTATGTGGCGCATCTCGTGCAGATGCTGGCTTTCATTATGGATCGCCCACTACGCAATCCCATATACTATGAACCGTCTCGAGCACGCATCGCAGACGAAATCAAGGAACTCACCTACCCCACACGAGAGTGAGTCGCCAAAGAAATCTTAAAAATAATCCAAACGTGCTTTATAACATTCTGTCCCACTCGTAGGTTCCCTTTGTATACGCGTTCCATTCTGCCATCTCAGCAAACCAAGTACGGTATTTATTTACTGCGGCAGAACGTTTCGCAGCTGTGCTATGACATTACCGGTCACTGTGATATGCGCAACACATTTGGTAATCTGTTGGAGCTATTCGACACGCTGCGCTACATTGAGCGCACTCAGCGCGATGAAGTTGATCACGGGGACAAATCGCCTGGTAATGGTAGACATGTCAACGGCTTGACCGCAGCGACTGCCAACACCCAACTCTCACAGTCGCACTCATCGGTGGACATGAATCATGTGCCACTGCCTACAACGGCAAACGCCGCCAAAGATGCACTGCTCCAGCAGTTGCTGCCGTCGGGCGTGAGTCAGGCACTGGCCATCGAGGGCTATGCGTCAACGCAGCGGTATGACCTATAAACCATTTATATTGTGCAATTTGTTTCTAATATTGAATTTCTGACATAGTTATAATTTTATACATAATTAATTGTGTACAGATATTCATTGAGCATAGCATATATATATATTTATATGTATGACAAATTCGTATTAAATTATTATACTTATATACATTTGTCTATTGCAGAATATGTCGCTCAGTGGGCTCCTATTCGGATGGCGAGGAAGATTTTCGGGCCAGATTGGAACAGAACTACTCCAATTCAGACTCAAACATAACACTGCAAACGGAGCGCAGATAGGATAATATTTGTGTGCTGCGGTTCAATGTAACCACATATTTACCTAAACATAATACAAGTATCTATATTTATATAAACTGTCGTAAAGCCCCATAAACAAAGCAATGTGTTTATTGGTTGTGTTGAGTTTTAGCAAAATTTATTTTCACTAGATTGCTTTTAACGTATTATGTACTTGAAACACTTGTATATTTATTTTTAAATTATAGAGTGCTTTGGTAAGCAAACTACAAGCTGGTTTAATGTCTGCATATTTACTTGTTTCTTTGAATAAGATCTCGTTGTAAATTCCCGTTCTTTGTTTATATGGTAAATCATAAGATGCATATAAAATATATAAAACTTACTAAATAAATACCATTTTATAAAATAATTGAAATAGAATAAGATTACCAAGTGTGCTACGACACGGATAAAGCTTTGTTGGCATTTATCTGAAAATCTTATACTATATTGAGTCAGAGATATATTGCCATTTATATTTCCGTACATTTTTCCAGAGTGCTAAACAAGAATTTAGGTGTAAAATGCGCTGAACAAAATTGTGCGCGTTTTACGAAATGGGTTTAAATATGCGCTCAACGCTTCTCAACATGCAAACAATCAGCGTTTACCAACACTGGATACACAGCTGTTCCATAGTTTGGCCAAATTTATACGATTGGCAAGGTAGCACATTTAACAAAAATAAACGAAAACGTGCTCAAACATGTTCATAACTATTTGTATATATTAGTTAGTACTATGTATATTTATAAGTGTAAAAAAAAACGTGAACTTTTACAAAATGTGAATATAACCGCAGTAGCTGAAAATTTCTTATTGCATGAGTGTTAGTGAAGTGTATGTGTGCTTGCGTGCGTATGGCCCGGGCCATGGGCTAATGGTAAAACTAAAAGCGCCGCGTTGTTGTCATTTTATAGTAAAAGTGGTTATATCCATTGAGTATTAACCGGCAGTAATTGCTGTTGATAATTTATTGTTATCAATAAGATCGAGCATGCGGCGTCAGTTTTATGAATGTGATAGATGACGTCGTCGGGGAACCTCCGTCTGATTGTGTGTGCTACGCTACCAGCCGCCCAATTTAGAAACGTTCATGGTAATATACGATATGCCAAGTGTTATAAAAATGTTTACGCGCACAAATAAAAACAATTGATAAGGCAACGCCAGACAGCCGCACGTTTTGTTTGTTCAAAACAATTGCCCAGAAGTGCGGGTAGAGTGTGCAGAGTGCAGTGCCCATTTAAGAATTGCATTAGTCAGCCGAAGCTGAAGCTGAAGCGAATTGTTCATTGGAAACGTGGCAAGCAAAAGCTTGATAAAGCTGCTTGGTAAAGGAGTGCACAAGAAGAAGGCAAAAAACATCTGCACCTACATAACTGCACTGAGAGAATTTGTTCAAGCTTAGCAAAAACTAAAGCAGGCGACTGTCCAAGCAAGACACACCTGTACACTCTCCCTCTCTCTTATACGCTCACTTCTCTTCTCTCGCACACATACGCACGGCTGTATATATATATATATATAGAACGCTCTCTTACGCCATGACTGATAACGAGCTGCCGCTACGTGACTTCGACGAAGAGAGCGAAGAGACTGATTCGGAAACAGAATTGCTCATACGCCACACGGGCAGCAGCATTGACGCTGCCATTGGCAACGGCAACAATAACGGCAACAACAATGGGCATAGGCGTCGCAAAAGCTCAACTGGTTACGGCGGCATCGGCGGCGTTGGTAGCCCCTCTAGCGTCGTCAACAGCGGCAGCTTTCTTGGCAATCTATTCAGTCTTGGCTCAGCCGCCGGCCAGATACGTTATAGAAATGAGCGGAGCCGCGAGCGCGCCAAATACTCAAATAGCAATAGCAGCGGCAGTGCCTCGCGAGACATTACGTCGGACCATACAGCTGGCGCTAGTGCAACGAAACTGGCGCAACTAACACAGACGGGCGCCGCTGGCGTCGATAGCTCCACGCCGCAAGCTCCATATGTGTCCACAGACATTGGCGCGCCCAACGGAATTGGCTCTCACACAGTGATCGATCCAGAGAACGGCTCATCCACGGTCTTCTACCAGAACAACCGCAGGCGCAGCAAAAGTCGCAGCATCGGCAATGTCTGTAAAATGTGTCTCTGCAGGTAACGTTCACACACACACACACATACTTACAAGCATACAAAAATACATGTAAACATACGAAAATTATCAGCTAGCAGCTCTTAGCAAGAGATTTCGGGATGTCAAGCTGTGCGTATACGTGATGTTCCATTTCGCAAAAGTTGCTGTCAACACAACACACACAACAATTGTTGTTGCCCATTCAAAACAAAAAAAGTTGTGTGTGTGTTCCCAAAACAGCTGCTCTCTCGTAATCGTAATTAATTGTATTTCTCGCGTTGACTGATCGCAGCTACACATTTTTTCACTTATTCGCAATATTTGACTGCTTACGTTTTATGCGTGTACAGTGGTTGCTCGATAAAACGAGCGCCTCGGTTCCGAAGGTGACACTTATTTGCTAAGCACCAATTTAAGTTACCCAAGTTATATTTTGTAGACTTGCAGAGGGCATTATAAATGTAACGCCTTAATGAAGATATCACCCATAAATATTATATATTTTGGCTAAGAGAGTCGATTCTTCTGCTTCGATGCAAATGTATGTATGTGCACACGTGTTGGAGTCCGGCAGATCGGTCTAATATCAGATTGTGGCCACGGATTTAGATTTAGCTTCTCAAGCAATACCCATTTAAATAGCAGTCGAATTGTGTCAGTTCCAGAATTATATCGTAGCTCTTATAAATGTTGCTAAACGAAAACTTGTCTACCTATTCAGTTTGATCTCAGCAATGACTTCCTCTGTTCTGGTTAAACTTCCTGTTATCCACATGTTGTGTTAGATTTTTTTTATTCGTTAAACTAGAGGCAAACGGTAGAGCTATTATCTCAGACTGGAAGCTCTCATCTTGAAACCTTTCTTGGTAGCAAGTTCTGCTCCACTGGCTTTGTTTATTATCGCTTCGAGGTTGCGCCTGTTATTTTATGACGCTGGCGCTGGGCAGCAACAACGAATCGCTGAAATTCAAACTGCCAAATGGAAACATTTCAAAATGTTCAAGTAATGAAAAAAAATAAAAGCAAAAACAAAAACGAAAAGAGCACAAAGGCAAAAAAACAAATAAGCTACTCGACAGTGCTCGGCTAGAAGACACCCTGTACAAGCATTCGAAATCCCCTCCATTCATTCCTTAGGCCCAATAGTAGGACCTATCTTCGAATTTTAATGTATTTGGCTTTTATAGTCTCATATTAACAGATGGATAGATGGGCAGACAGACGGACATGTACTTTATGAAGTCGGAGATACATAAGTATCTTCTTGTGCGCCTGTTACATACATTTTGACAAGACTGTTATAACCTTTTAAAATTCATTTTCAATATATATGTAGTGCATATAAAAAGAAGAGAAAATTGCAAAGGCAGACAAAAGTGTTGTCGAGACGATTCTAGGAAAAGTTCATGTTTTGAAACGCGAGTAAAATTATACACGAATATATATGTACATTTCTTGCTATAATATGTGGCACACATTGTTTCAACACATATATATATATATTAAAATATATATTTTTAATTTGCTTAATTAGAAGAAAAACAAGAAAGAAACGAATGGAGAAAGAGCGCACACCGAATGCCGCCGGCAAAATAAATAAAGAACCAAAACATTTTGCTGTTTGCAACGAATTTGAAATCGATAAACGAGATCCACATAAACGAGAAGCGTCAGTATTTCTGTTTATACACATGGGGGATGTATGTACATGTATATTTGCACCCATTCCAGCTAAAAGGGAAAATGCAAATGGAAATTAACAATAGGCCGAAACACCTTATAAATGGTTCGCTATCGGACAAGTGACAAAGTACTGCGGTTGTCACATTTCTCACGCCGCGTCGTTTTCGTAAGACCCTAATTGTTTTGGTTTTCTTTCGAAATTTGCATATGTAATCGATTTTTGGCGTGCAACTCCTTCAGAAAAAAGCCAAACGCGACTCGTTTTCGGTGTCGTCAGCCGCTCAACTTAGAAGAACCGAACACTGAACTACAGAAACCAGTTTGCTTAGATACTTTTTTCAAGGTTTCTAAAACAGAAACGAGTTCCGCAGCAAAAGTAGCATCCAGTTTGTTGTGTGTGCCTTTTATTATACCCTGTAACCATTAGAAATGGGCTATAAAGGGTATAACAGCTTTATAAAAATTAATGTAACACGCAGAAGGATTTGCAATATCTTTTATAATCTCATCAAATAATGTTATAAATATCGATTTTGTTAGTATCGTTTTATGAGCATAATTCGGAGGTTATTAGGGCTCGTATTCACGGGTTTTTGGCTTGCACTCTGGTATATACACATATTTTTTTGTGCCGTCTATAAAACCCAAGAAATGCATTTTGTTGTTTAGAGCAGAAGCAGCAGAAGATGTCTGAATAGAAGAAGGGGCATCTCTTAGTCGAGCACCCGCGACTTTCATGTTTTGTTCTTTTTATGTCGAAAATTGAAAGTTATGTGCCCTCGTGGCTTATCAGAAGGAGGTCAGTTCCCTGGCCAGTCCATGAGCCCAACAATGAATGCAAAAAGCCGCAACGCGTCGCATAGCTCGTCAAAGACTTCAGTTGGGCAATGGCCACAAAACAAGGCCTGAGAAATGAGCCTCATTGTTCGGCGATGTGAAAGAGCCATCATGGAAGAGTATGCGGTGTACTTACTATAGATTCAATATGCGAAATCTGATATTTGTAGCAATTGCATAACTGAGTTGTCTTTATCATCCATTCAATTTGTATACACAAATGAATATTGGAGTAATGGAATTCTTATCTGGCATTAAGTTAAAAAGGCCTGTCCAGCATTAAGCTAATTGAATTCTTATCTAAACAATGCAATTATATAATTGCTCTTTGTGCTATTTTAAGCTAGTCACGAGCCTTATCGTAGGCTCTATGTGGACAAGCTTAAAAGCACTAGCTAAAATCTTGATAGTTTATTTTTTGGGGTTTTTAAATGAATTTTTCGAGTTCTAATATGTTATAACTATGTTTATTATATAGTAATTATTGACTCTTTAGATTGGAGACGAGCTTTAAATTTAATTAATATTGTTCTAAATATATTTTTAAAAATTTTTAAGCAAACATCAAAATAATTCAACACCATCTG